CTTTTTGTTAAAGTTCTCACTGAATTCACCTACTCTTCCCCTAAGTTCATTGAGCATCTTTATAATCAGTGTTTTGAACTCTGCATCTGGTAAATTGTTTGACTTCATTTTTCCTGGAGTTCCATTTTGTTCTTTCATGTGGAACATGCTTCGTTGTCTCTCCATTTTTGCTGCCTTTCTGTGTTTGTTAAGTCTCCCAGTCTTATTAGCGTGGCTTTTTGTAGTAGGTGTCCAGTGGCAAAGTCCCGAGAGGGGTTCAGCTGCAGGCCAAGTTTAGCCCCAGTCTGTGCCCCTGGGACCACCTGTTAAGATTCAACAAGCAATCCACAGATGCTGTGCTTATAGTTGCCTCAAGAAGCCACACCAGAAGCCAAAGCCAGCTGTCATCAGTGTGTCTTGGCTCTGCTCAACAAGGAGCACTGAACTCTCTGAAGGCATAACTAGATGTGGCTTGGGTGGGGTTGTGAGTTGGGAGAGATGGAGTTTCAGGGACTCCGCTGGGTGGAGCAACCTCTGTTATCCAGTTTGATGACAGCTCAGCTATGGTGGCTAGGTCAGCACACCGAGAGCGGGGAGGGTTCAACAGAGGAACAATAAATACCACTGGCACTTCTGCCCAGGAGAGAGCCTCACCTCTGGCCCTCACTCTGACAACTCATTGGTGCCCTTATGGAGCCAATCTGGCACTAGTCCTCCGTGTGAGCAGGTCCATCATGGCGAAAGTCCATTCACGGACACGCCCCTTTAAGAGGTTCTCTGCAGCTTCTGGCTGCTGCTGCGACAGCCGCAGCTTCTGTCCCACTCAGCCACTGGGGACGGGGCAGCCTCTTGTCTTCACCCCCTCCTACCTTCTACCATTGCAGGTTGATTATTTCTCTCTCTAGTTGTAGTGCTTCTGTTCATCTAGATCCCAGGTGACTTTGCTTGATGTTTGCTCCATGTTTCTGTCACAACTTTGATTTGGTTGCAAGAGGGATGAACAAAGCCTTTATCATCTATGCCATTTTTTCCTGTCCTCACACTAAATGACTTTTATCTTGTTGATTAATAAGTAGAAGTTGGATAAAAAGGGCAAAAGCTCAAAAAAGTGTGTGTGGAAGGTAAGGCCAATAAAATTGGTCTATTTGCTTTGTCTTAAAAGATTTACAATATAAAAACATAAATATAAAATATAATATTATAAAATAATATATAGAAATATAACATTATGTAAAATATTATGAAAAATGCCCACAGCTTTCACAATTAGAGACTAAAGAACCCTATGATATACATATGTTCTACACTAACCTGCTAAAATATTCCATTGGTTATTCTAATTTGAAATTTTCTTAACAATATCCTGAAATCTAAGTTGTAAAACAAAATGATGGAATGATATGATTGGAATGAGGACCCAATGCTCTACCACAGGAGAAAGATAAAAATGAGAAGGAAAATACAAAAATAGGAGGGAGATATTGGTATCAAAGTGATTCTGATTGAATGCAATAAGAAAAAACACCCTGGATCAGAATATGATTTATAAGAATGGTTTTTCAGAGGAGCCAAAATAGTTTGAGGAGTCTAAATAAGCCACAATAAGTTTATAAAGGGGGGAAAAAAAGAATGTATATGGGCATATAGGAAACATATACACTATTCAAACATTCTTCTCTTTCGCTGCATTAAATAACAAAAGACTGTCCACCAATTTTATACACACATATACAATCATGAAAAAATATAGTAGCCTTAAAAATACTTTAGTTCAATTTACCATAATTAAAAAAATTTTTTTTAACCCTAACCTTAGTTTATAAACATTCAAACTGTAACTGGACAAATTTCCAGGCTCGGCACTTCCTGGCTATTTAAAAAAATTAAATTATAGTAAAATATACGTGGCACAAAATTTTTCTACATTCAAAAAATATACATCTATATTTCATTTACTAATCTAGAAATACTTTAGCTCCCCATTTTTCTCATAGTTGCCAAAAGAGAAATGTTCATAATAAATGAACCAAAAGAAATCTTAGATTGCTGATTTCCACTCTAGGTTGAAAGTACTACCACTTTCTTTTTAAGTGATCCCTCAATAATTATTATTATTTACCTGTGGAGATCTCTTATGGATAGGAACCCTTGTAAGCTGCCCATGACAATGTGCTCTCCAATTACACATATATCTGATACTTGTTCCTTTAGGACTTGAGAACATAGATACTTGCCATTTACAGAAAACAGATGCAATGCATTCTTATCCTGCAAAGATTAGATGAAGAAATTTCAATGATCTCAATTTAAAACTTAGTTTTACTATTGTTAATTAAAACTATGACTATAACAGAATGATAATTGGGTTTTAAATACTGAAACAAACATGATTATATTTAAAGAAAAAGTGTGTAGACAATATTAAAGTGATTTCAAATCAGACTGCCAAGTAAATAAATTTAAATAAGAGATTTCACTCCTCAAAAGAATTAAAATCTCATCCAGTCCAAAAAACCTTACATTCTTAAAACACAACAAATAGATTTTCTTAATTTTTAAAAAGCTTTATTATTGAAAGGAAAATAAACATATAAAATTCATGGCTTGTTTATTTATACCCTGTCTTGTGCAAAAAGAACAATTTGGTTATAATTTCCACTAAAGTTTATGAAGTCTCACATAATCAGAAATTATTTTTGAAATCATATATTATTTAGGCCAACAGAAATTCCTAAAATGAAATAAAAGCATGAGGCCAAGATTGTGATAGGGTAAGGTAAGGGTAAGGAATGAATAAACTGAATGATGAAAGAAAAACATCCTTTCTAAAATATGGTGTTCTTTCCTTCCTCAAAATGTCTCATATACATATTGTGGAAAGGAAAAGGCAAGCGTATAGTCCAGCCCTACTGCATGAAACTGTTAGATACCTTGAGGGTGGTTGTTTCTTCAATGCTGGAGTAGATGACAATATATCCTTCCCAAGATATAGCCAAATTAGGAATGGTCAAGAGCAGAGAACGCTCACAAGGTGGTCGTAAAGTCCGCATGTACTGACCTTTCTGAATAGTATGTATAATCACAGTGCCATCCTACACATAGAAAATTGAAAAAGACAAATAAAAAGAACAGCAAAAAGAGAAAATGGGCAAAAGAAATGTTGGAAAGAAACTTAGAAAATGATTATTCCACCAAAGACACATGTACCTTAGGAAAAATCCAATCTTGAAATTTCAAATAGTATTTTATTTCATAAAATGCCCACTCTTCCCTTAACTAATAACACCAGTGAAGTTCCAAAATAGAATACAGTCTCTTCAAGTTTTTCTTTTCTGTATTATTCTACTTTTGAAAAGTCCTATACAAACATAGTATAAGATTTCTATATTTTTACCAGTTCCTCTAGAAAAAAAATTTAAATATATTTCTTCTAAAATTATAGAAAAAAAAATAGCATTTCTTAAAGTTGGAATCTTACCCTTGATCCTGACACTGCCATGTCTAGCTCAGTGCTGATGCCGACACTCAATACCTCATCAGTGTGTCCATACAGAATCTGAAAGGGTTTAGGTGCTAAACCCACAGGAACACCACCCTAATATTAAAACAGAAGAGCAAAGGTAATGTTCTCATAGACTATTTTCTATAAAAAGATTTATGCTGTATTTAAACTAATTACAAACAAAGATTGCAACTAGTTCTTACCACTGAGTCTATTCACAGCAGTACTCATTCTTGTTTCTCCTTGTTTCCTCAAATTATTCTGTCTTTTGTAGCTCAAAAACTTAATCTGAATAGTTTCACAGTTAATTATTTTGGATTAATTTGAACAGGTATACTGTTTGCTCTTTTCCTCTACAGATTTATTCTTCCTTCACTTCAAAGAAACTTTTGTATTATATTTCTGAATACCTTCTCTTTTTCATTTATTGGAGTACCTATTTCAGGCACATCAATTATCTTTACGCTAACTTGTCTACAGCTATCATTCTTTTTCTAATTGTTTTCTTTTATTTCTATATTTGTATTCACTTTGATTACTATGTTAATTCTATCTTCCATGTTAATAATTTTCAGGCACATCAAATCTGTTCCTTGCTGTTTCTGCTTTATTTATTTTAATGGTATCAATTTTAATATCAGTTTGATATCAATCTCCCTTTTAAAATCTTATAATGCTATTTTATAATTTCATCTTTGAGGTCCTATTTTATTGAATCAATATTCTTATTATGCTCTTTTAACAGCATAATATTATTGCAGGAATCTCTCTGTTTTTGAGTTTTCTTCCAGAAGAAGATTCTTTCTTCATCTGCTTTTGGCATGCTTTGTTTATATATCACTGTGATATAAAACGTTTGAGTTACCATGTTACCACAAATACCAGTTACCATGGTATTTGTGTTGATTATCCCAGATAACTCTGTCCAGACCTTCTACCTGCATTATATTATGTGGATGAATTCCTCTTAACACTTTATTACCTGAGACACTAAGAGTGTCTGAGTGCTTAGTGCACTCTATTTAATTTTTAAAAATCAGGTCATTTCTATATTATGTAAGCCAATGAAGTTACTAAGAAAGATGGACCCTTCTCATTCATTTTATAAAGGCTGCATATCTCAGTACTAAATATGGTAAAGACAGAACAAAAACAGATTGCACTTACGAGTAGAGAAATAATTAAAGCACTAGCAAATAAAACCTTACAGTAAAATATAACAATACATCATGAATTATACGGATTATAAGAATTCAGGGATGGTTCAAACCTAAGACACTTCTTAACGTAACACATTACACTAAGAACAAGTAAGAGAAAAACTATAAATGAAAAAAGGAAGAGAAACTGAGAAAAACAGTTGTAAAGGACACTATTGGGACTAATGACAAAATCAGAACGTGGACTGTGAATTAGATAATGGTATTACATAAATGTTAAGTGTTCTGATGGTTATGTATAACAATGTCTTTGTTCTTAGAAAATACATACTGAAGTGTTTGGGGCAAAGAAACATGTTTCTAACTTTAAAAGTATTCAGAAAAAAAAGCTGAGAAACAGATTAGGATAAAATGTTAAGAAAAATGGCAAAAATAAACTATTTTTGTAACTTTTTTGAAATTTTATTAAAACCCTAAAAAGTTACCAAAAGAAAAAAATAGAAGGAATGTAACTACTTAAATTTAAAAAACACAACTAATGAGAACCAACAGCAAACTGTACTAAATGGCACAGCAGTAAAGGCACTTTCATCAAAATCAAGGATGCTCACTATAATTTTCTTACCCTATTGCATTAGTTAATAATGTAATAAGATAAGACAATGAAATAATTAGTATACGGGAAAAGATTTTTAAAAATCTTTATTTTCAGATCACCTTTAAGTATCATCACCTCTTCAATCCTTTTAAAAGAAAACTTAGATTTTCTAGTATTTTACTTATAAACAAAGCTATAATAAGTATCTTTATACTTAAAAAAAAGAAAATCCAAAAAATACTAATAATTATGAGAGCTGAATATAAGGATTTGGTAAGATAATTAGTTACAAAATAAGGGCACAGAAATTGAAAGTTTTTTTTTAATATTAGCAATCATCAGTCAGAAATAAAAATTACTTTAAAAATTCCACCAAAACAATAATAAAAATATGATAATTAGAAGTAAATATAACAAAGTACAGGACACGTAAGCAAAAAAATTATCAAAAATTTTATCAAAGGACATAAAAATAACACCTGAAACAAATAAGGAAAGACATTACTCATTCTGAATAGAAATAATTATAAAACTGTCCATCCATATCAAATTAACATGTAAATTGAATATGATTACATTAAAAATAAAATGCAGTTTTTTGAGGAGTATATGGTTAAAATATTTTTAAGTTTCATATGAAAGAATACTCATAAGAATAGCTGTGAACACTTTTTAAAAAGGAAACAGAGGGAGGAGAGATTTGCCTTACCAGGTAGTAATAAACTACTAAAATAAAAATATTTGATGTTGACATAGAAATAGGTTAAGTGTGAAAGAATGGGGAGTCTAGAAAAGACTTTCCACCCAGAAGTAAACAAAATCATATCTTTTTATATCCTATATTACTATAAAATATATTCTGTATTCTATATATAGCCTATTATGTAAAGTATATGCCTATATTATTTATCTATTATATATTGTTATATAATAGAAAAATTAATTACCAGTGGACTAAAGATTGAAATGTAAAAAAATAAAACAAGAAAAGTATAAAAAAAGAATTTTTAGTCAATATTTTTATAAATTTGGAGTGGGGGAAAAAACCTGTTAAACAAGGTAGAAAGTCCAGAAGCTCTAAATAAAAAAGATACTTTCTTGAACCAACATTATCATGAGAGTATAATAGGTTAATGAAAATTATAAATCTATAATTTCTAGTAATCCCTCTTGAAAGAAAAATAGGATTATTATGTTAACAAGACACAAAAAATAACTTTTTCCAGAAGAGGTTAACGAAGAGGAGCTTTGGGAAAGTAATATGAAATAACGTCATGAATCAGACAATAAACCTAGGAAAAAATGTGGTGATGAGGAGAGGCCAGAATGGAGGTGAAAGAATGCAAAGGAGCTCAAGTAATCATTTAATGCCAGAATTCACTACTCTAACAGAACATCTCAGCGCTATTCCCAGGGTGAATCTCTGATCTAAACAAAAAGTATTTAAATGTGTAAACTACCTGTTGTGTTATCTGCCATATCATACATGTAGTGTCTCTGGAACCAGAAATCAAATGTATTCCACAGTAATCTGTAGCTAAACAAGTCACAATATCTGTAAGGAAAAAAAAATTTAAATAAAATGGCTTGTTTTTGCTGGAATAGAACAGGGAAATTTTAGCTTAAGTTCAAACTATTACTAAATCAGTTGTTCTAACACGGAGAAATATAGGACTGGCTTTGAAAAAGCATTGGGGAAGAATGACACAGAAAAGCAGCAGTATTAAAATTTCTTTCAGGCCACCCTTCTTTGAGGGAGAAGAGTAGACATGGGGCAGGGAAATGCCTGAAAGAATCTTGGCAGAATATCAAGTTGCCTGAAATGAACCCACAGTAAATTCCGATATGCTTCTCTGCTTTCTCATCCCTATTCACTTTCTACTTCCACTGGGAACTACAATCCTATCTATACAACATGTGACCTTAACCAAAACGATATACTACAACTGTAAATTCACAATATAAAATACATTCTTCCTAAAGTGTAAAAACCTGAGCTAAGTGATACCTCTGGAGTCACTGGTACAGAATTAGTAGCAGGCTCCATTTCCCTTTCCTAATCGGTTTATTAAGAAAAAATTTACCGAACGTTTTAGTCTTTTGAAGAATGAGACGTGAAAAAGTACCAGGTTAAACTACATTTAACAAATTTACCTCTTTCATGTTTAACTATTAACAAAATAATAGGGCAGTTGATGTCTTATTCAACTATGATAGATTTTTGTTTACCATTTTGTCTTAAAATTCTTATTTCTATCAACCAATTTTTAAAAAGATATAGCCTAACATCTTTCAGGTGCTATAAAGCTGTATTTAATTTGTATGGTGCTTAGAATACCCAAAATATATTAGACATTCTTAAAGGAAGCACATAATACTTGTGACACTGCTCAATTAAAAAGTTCACTCCACTTCAAAGGTAAAATTTAATATACTTTATAAAGAGTATGCACTACTTTTATAGTTAGAAAAAAACAGAAAAAATTTTGGTTGGGGTGGGGAGTTAATGCTTACCCATATGTCTGATATTGTGTGAAATAATTTTGCCTTTGGTAAGTGACATCACTTGAATGCTATTATCCCAGTGTCCAGCACTGAAAAGCAACTTCGCATCATGTGATACTATAAATAGTTTAGAAGTGATCTCCAGCCCTGGAGCAAAAGGACCATTCAGACTACGCTGAGTTCTGTGAACACAATTAGATATTAGACTTTTCCTTAAAAGATCACTTAAATGTTTTTAAAATATCTCTGAAAAACAAAAAATAAGTCTCTTCAATGTTCAATTTAAAATGTATATTAATAAGTGACAGACTTCCAGAAAATACATTAATCTTACTATAGTCATGTTTTTATTAAATAAAATTTACCTAACAAATAATCTTAAAGGTTAAGCATAAAGATATTGAGACTGTGAAGGTGTGAAGATTTAAATCTTGCTTTTCAAAGCCAATTTAGTAAAATTGTCAACTCTGTAAATAGCAGCCTCAAAGTATATAGACAAACTATGATATACTGGAACCCCAGGAAAGTCAGAAAGAAACTGAGACAAGGGATACACAGGTAGATAAATGTGTACATAACAATACTCGTGAAGATCATTTTCCATTCCAACCAAAGAAAGCATTTGGATTTTATCTGCTTCACAATGAAATATGCATGCACTTAGCCAATCTAGATTCTGTAGAAAGACACAAAGAAGTGATTATACTTCAGTGTGTAAATGGTAAATGAGGACCAATTCTGACCCTTCAGCTCTAGACTTTTATTATGCAATATTAATTTGCTGAAGGTATACTTTGTGCAAAGCACAACAGTACTAAGTCCTATGTGGGATAAGAAGGAAAAGACGTCGCTCCTAATAAACTTGTAGCTAAAACAACTCAGAGTAAAAGAAACATCACCTTAACCTAAAATGTAACCTTTGGATATTTTTAAAAAATACTAAGGTAAATAATAAATTCTTAATACATAAAACACATCAAGTCTTATTCGTAAGCAATATTGTACAACAGAAATACAATTAACCTAAAAATTATTTCTAATAATTTGTTTCTATAATAGTATTATAGAAACTGTTATGTCTGTAAACCAATATCAAGTCAGGGAAAGAAAGGAGGGAAGAAAAGACAGAAAGAGGGAAGGAGAGAGGAAAAAAAATCTGGATATGTACAATATTACTTTCGAAATGAAACCAATCAATTTAGATGTTTTTCCTAGCAACAGGGTATTGACCGTATCTGATTTGCTTTGAATATTCATCTACTCACTTTGGATTTGTCACAGTTTGATCCCTAATGAATGTAAAGTAATTAGAAATGCTTCTGTCATAAGGCAGCCATCCATGGGTTCCAATAACATTATTCATGCTTACTGTTATCTGGAAAAAGAACGTATGAAAATGAAAATTATATGAAAGATTAAAGAAAGCAACATAGGATAACCAAGTACTCACATGATGTTAGCATTTATCATCTAGGGAAAAATACAGGATTATGTAAACATAAAACTCAATAAGAAAGTCTAAAACAATTTAAATATTAAAAGCTCTGTTTTTTGACCCAGCAATTGCACTTCTGGGTTTTTATCCAAAGAAAACCAAAACAATAATTTGTAAAGATCTATGCACCCTCTATGTTCATGACAGCACAATTTACAATAGCCAAGATATGGAAGCAACCTAAATGCCCATCAACAGATGGTTGGATAAAGAAGTTATGGTTCATATATAATGGAATATTACTCAGCCACATAAAAAAAATGATATCCAAGAAAGGGGATGGAAAAAGATATTGCTTTGATGGACCTAAAAGATATTTAAATCAGACAGAGAAAGATAAACACTATATGATTTCACTTATATGCAGAATCTAAGAAATTAAAAGAACAAACTAATTGAAAACAGACTCATAAATATAGAGGACAACCTGGTGATGGCCAGAGGGCAAGGGGGTTGGGGAAGCTGGGAGAATGCAGTAAAGGGTTAAAGAAGTATAAATTAGTAGATGTTATCAACCTGTAAAATCATAAGTTTATCAACCTGTAAAATCACAAGAATTCTAGCACTCGAAAAGTTCTATTATTATTTTTGTATCTTTCTCAACCTTTTTTTTTCTGAGTAAACACACAATATGCATAATTAGGAAAACAAGACTAATTCTGGAATCTGTACTGTTCACTCTGCTATGCTTACTCCATATTTTTATAATTTCTAAATGACAAAATAGAATAAGACAGACCTAGATTTGGCCCACAGGCCAGGGTCCCAAATCCCTTACTTGCTAGCTCCGTAACTTTGAGCAAGTTACTTCTGAAGAGTTTTAATTTCTCATCTGTAGAAGGGAAATAATACCGCCTCTCTCATAGGATTGTTAGGTGGATTAAATGACAAGATTCATGTATAGCACTCACTAAAATGTTCTGCATATAAACCTTAATTGATGCTGTATTATTTCTCATTTTCGTTATTATTATTACTGCTTTATAAGTTCCACTATCTAATAAGATGTTATAGCCTATTTTTCTTTTACAAAATTTCCTGGTATTTTCACATTATTCCAGATTAACTTTAGAATTATAGTAACTATTTAAAACAAAAGCTGTGTAAATAGAAGACAGATTTTTATACTTGGTCAAAGTCTATAAAAATTTTCTCCATTATTTTTTAAAAGGCTTGAAATTTTTAAAATTTTCTTTTCTTTTTTTTTTTGTAAGTTGTAATGGATAGAGATATAGCAATGTAAAGAAGGTATAAGTCAACTTACCAGTAACTCAGGACTGCCTTGAGACATAAAAGAACGAGACTGATTTTTGGGGACAATGGCCTTTATTAGTGGAATACCATCACTGATTCCCTATAAAATAAAACACATAGGGGTAGTGGCTGATTCTGCTTATCTTTATTAGGTACAAACTACTGAAAACCTCTATTTCTTTAAACAAGAATGAACCCTGTGATATAGTATTTTACTCAATCAAAACACCATTATTTAATTTAAAATGTAGAAAAGAAATTATATACCATGTTTGAATGGCACAACTCGAAACTTCTGAAACCTATTACCCTTCTTGTATTCCACAACTCTGCTGTTAAACAGAGATGTAGATCTCAAGGAGCATCCTTTTCACTGGCCATACTAACTTGAACATAAAGTAGAAAATATAGACCACAAAAGAGTACATTTCTCAAGTAAGTCAAATGGGAAAACTTATTTTTATAGAAATTTCCTTTGGGGTTTAACTTTCAAAAAATAGATCTGTTCCATTAACTGAGGCACTCCTTAAAAGCCACAACAACAAGACCAGAAAATATAGTCCTCAGAAAAAATCCGCCATTATCTTATTACAATGTAAAAGAGAATAATGATTTGAGCTAAGTCTCTTTATGTGACAATAGTTCATAAATTATACCTAACGTTTATTAGGTAAATTATAACCTAACAGTACTGGGTACATACTATATGCCAGGTGCTATTCTGAGCTTTATATAAACTAAGTAATGAATTATAAACCATATAAAGTCACAAATGATTAGACATGATGAAAATAATTTTATCAGTATTACATAATAAATATAGTATTACATGCCCATCAGATTAGGGGATAAATAGGGTGTTATGGGTTGCCCTACGTGCAGGAAAGAGTTAACGCAGCAGGACTGAGACTGCTTTCCTTGAAAAGGCCTACCTTCAAGGTTGGCCCTTTGCTGGCATCTGGGAACTTGGGAGGCAAAAACTTCCTTACACAGATTTAAAACTTGTCTTCAATGATGCAGGTGGCTCACTACGCCTAGACTACTTGTACAAAGAACATGACTTATGCTGAACACTGGCTTTTCTTTCGAGAGTCTGGAATTTTGGCATATGCTGGGTGAAGGGTGCCTATGTGATCAACCTTTAATAAAAACCATGGCTGCCGAGTTTCTAATGAGCTTCCCTGGTAGACAAAAACATGTTTTCACGTTTCATCACTGGAAGAATTAAGCACGTCCTGTGTGACTTCACTGGGAGAAGACTCTTGCACCTGGTTTCCCCCAGACTTCGCCCCACATGGCTTTCCCCTTTGCAGACGTTGCTTTGTATCCTCTCACTGCAATAACTCTTAGCTGTGAGTACAACTAACTATATGTTGAACCTGTGAGTCCTAGCAAATTCCCAAGCCTGTGGGTGGTCTTAGAAATCCAGAACACATCCTGGGAATTAGTTGTCATTTCTAAGTACTGTTTCTGTGTTCTGAGTTCCAGAAAACAAACAACTTTGTAAAGTCTGTAGTGTTAAACATGTACCTAGAAAAGGAGTGACAAAGATTAATTTTGAAAGTGCTTTCACAAACATGTGAAAACATACTTACATTAAAATATTGTGGAGCTTACCACAACATTGTTCACCTGAGTAAAATTCAATATAAACTTATAACTCATACACTACATAAAATTTTTTTTCAATGAGTTATCAAGAAATTCTATAAAGATTTCTCATGATATTAAACCTAAGGAAACGCATTACAATGATGTTCTCTCTAATGCAGAGTTTGACAAAGTAGACCTGTAAGACAAATTCAGCCTATCACCTGTTTTGTAAGCTATGAGTAAGCTAAGAAAGGTTTTACATTTTTAAATGGTTATATATATATATAAGTTTATCAGCCTGTACTGCATGAGAGCTATTGCTTTTTCTATGCATATCTCCCAACTATTCCTACTTTTTATCATTTTTTCTTCTGCCAAAAGAGTTAATATTATCTATCCTAATCAAATTCATAGGTATAAACACATTTCATATCTACATTCTGAATTATTCAAAGTAATTCAATATGTATATTTAAATATTAGAATTTGAAGGTACTCTTTCAATTACAGCATTAACTATTTTGTTTTATTTGACTACTCCCTATATTAGCAATTAACAATCTGACTTATTGGTCCATACTTTATACATGAGCAGACATTATAATTAAGAGTTATTTTAGACTCCCTCTAAATATCACATTAACTGTCACAAAAAGCAATTTAAATGAAATTATTTATTCTTCCTGGTCAGGAAAATATGAAATAGAAGAACGAGAGCCAAGAGAAATAGTTCAGACTACCAGTCAATAGAAAACAAAAGCTTTCAATAAGATTGTTTTAAAAACAGAACAGATAATTCAGAATTATTTTCTATTTTGGATTAAATATTATAATTCATCTCCTACATTAAAGATCTGAGGTGTACAGAATTCACAGAGAAAACTCTTTGATGCTACCATGTTGGATATTACCTCCACAAAAAATGACTTGAGTTCAGGGAGGTGTTGAAATAGGTTTAGGGTTGAAGACTCTGTTTTGGTCTGCTTCTGCACTGCTTCCTCTGCTGATAACCTAGGAGGGTGTGGTTCCTTCAAAATAATTTTAACAAAAAATAATTTCATAATTATATTAAAACATCTCTTACTGTATTCATACATACTAGGCTCTAGCTACAATGAATTATATAGCACACACTGTTGCTAATTCCAGGTCATTGCTCAGACTATTCTCTCAGCAAAGTTCCTACCCTCTTCATTTCTAGAGAAACAGTTCTTCTACTTCAAAGTTTTTCTTATTGACATCCCTCTAAATTTCTAAGTCAGAATTAATTATTCTCTTATGTTATTTTTCTCCACATATTACTTTATTTAGTATTTTATTTAGCACTTATTTCTATGTTGGATTACATATAGTTCTTTTTGGTCTGTCTTCCTCAACTAGCAATAAGTAACTTAAAGTAAAAAAGAAGTCTATTCATTCAATGATTTTCAACACCTAGAACAGTATCTTAAATATGGTGCTTAATGTTTTGTAACATTAAATGCATTGTTCAAAAATCATAAATTATAATATAGGTAAATCTTTAATTCCAAAAATAAGATTGAAATGTCAATATTAGCAAAATCAAATTATAGATATTGCTGCATTTCTTTTCGAATAAACTATTCCTCAATTTTAATGTCAGAGACATAGACTATTACCGCCTTCTTAAGTAAAAAGAAAATGATAAATCAAAGTAACACTGCAAAAGCAGTTAAAATGCAGAATAGAATTTTATCTAAAGGGGATTTTTCTATCTTCATAAAATATTAGATTATAGGTAATATATATAACAGCTATTAAGTACTTCAGCATTTAGCTCTCAAACATCCATGTATTATTTACTTTATTTTAAATAAAAGATGTTTTTCGTGTCGTTTTTATGTTGATAAAAACAAATTAGCACTACTCTTGTAAAAAAAAAAAAGTAAAATATTATGATGCAAAATATTATAGAATCTATTTCAAAGCCCAAAGAAGTGTTTTATTGTTACTTTTGGCTTCAATCAGCAGGTAAGTGACAAATCACTGATTTCAAATGTGACTTTTCTATAAAAACCAATTTTGGAGGTACCAGTGTTGCTAAGGAATAGTAACAATTACAAAGTTTCGTCTGATAACTAAATTAACAGAAGTATATCTATAAGGCAGAGTTAGATACACTGCTGCTGTAATAGCTGTGGAGATTTTAATTCAACAAATATTTACTGCACACATACTATATACAAGAAAAATATAAAAATAATTAGGAGAAGGTTGCTGTCTTTAACATGTTTATAATATAGTGAGGCAAATAAATATACAACTAAGGCAGAAAGTGTCGAAATTAGGATAACAGCCCATACAGCTCTGAATTCAGAGGAAATATGGCATGGTAGAAAGGCTTTGGAGTTAGATGGTCATACATCCAAATCTTGCCCCAGTTACATTCCAGCTGTGTAAACTTGGAAAAGGTAGTATTTGATTTATCTAAGGTGTGTGGGCTATGTATTAATTTCCATGAGGCTTGGCTTCATCATCTGAAAAATGAGGATAATTGAATATTTACTGTGAGGGTTAGGTAAATCACCTAACACTGTGCTTGTATAAGGAAGTATTGACTTAATAAGTGGTATATTATTGTGTATTTCTTATTTCTAAATTCATTTACTAACAAAGATCAAGATATCTTTGAAACCTAAAATTAGATTAACTTCTATGAATCTAAAGCTGTATACAATCAGGTCAATAATTTCACTTCAGATACCATATGAGGAAAGAAATATAGTAATATTTATAATTTGATTTTATGTTATATATTATAAAATTTGAGTTTTAGGACTAGATTTGGGCTCTGAATGGTAAGTGCCCTTTTTGGGCAGATGTTGGCTACTAAAAATTCTTATAAGTCCTCTGTGATTTAAGAGTAATTGACTGTATATGTGGATTTTTGACTATAATATTTTGTTATTTCAAAATAGGAACAATCATTTAAACCTATTTTTTTATAAAGTGACAGTATATTTTTCCCAAATTCTAAATAATTCTGAAATAAGGTTTTACACCATTAAAATCCTTGAAAATACTGGTAGTACTATTACTTAGCAATTAAATTCTAGACTTCTTATGTAATGAACAATTTTTATGATTTACCTTTAACAGTTGACAAGGTGTTTGCCCAAAATTATTAATCATCCCTTCTAAGGCTTTTCTTTCCTTCTCATCTGTTAAGGCATCCAGATCCACAGCTCCTAAAACCAGGATAAGTAGTCAACTCACTATAGAGTAAAAATAAATCAGCGAGCCACACAAGTGGTTAATATATCAGAGACTGATTAGTATATTTTCATCAAAATATTATTCCATTCTTTAACTTATAAGAACATTGTAAGAGGTAATTTAAAAAAAAAAACAGTAAAACTTCCTAATTAAATATGTATAAGAATAAATTCCATCCACTACTTAGAATCATAATATTTTAAACAAATCAACTGGTAGTCTATAAAAGTTTCTCTTGGAAAAATACAAACTATACTCATAGTACACCTAATTGTTTTCCTTATGATAGTCCAGCTGAAACAAGTGTAATAACTACATAAAAATATTGCTATAAAATACTGCTTCTCTAACAAATAATTGGAAAGGTGATATTATGATTAACTGATTATACCCAGCCATACCTAATATAGATTACATGGTTATTAATTAGCCAAACTAGGTCAGTCTGATTTCAAAGTCTATACTCCAAACCACCATACTATACTACCTCCCTACAAAACTATTATAGAATGAAAACATGTTTGTCTATCAAAAGACACGTGGGCTCTGCTCAAATTCATATTATTTCATACTATTTACAATCTTTAGAACTATTAGGTCTAGTAAAGGATTAGAAAAGAAAGAACTACTTCTTAAGCCTTTTAAAGCCTTCAGAAAATGTTCTTGATCCTGAGCTAATGAATATTAGAATAATGTCAACTTATTTATCATTTGAAGAATTTGTTATCTGTAACTCTAAAGGTTTTCTTTCAAAGTTGGCTAACAACTTAATACTGAATACTTAATTTAGGACCCAAGTGAATAGGACACAAAAGGCCAGAGATAAAAAAAACTTTTATGTCTCCAATAATTGACATTTAAAATTAGATTTGCATATATACTCTTAACTACTATTTTTTATAAAAGCAGGTCTCTTTATCTTTCAAATAGAAAAGATCACTAACACTATTTTTTAAATGTAGTCTTTCTCATGTAAAATAGTTATGTCCAAAATACCATGTATAAACACACATTAAATAATACTTTCTATATATAATGCAAGAAAAAAAGCATATAGGCTTATACCTTCATAACTACAGTAATAGAAAACATTGAGTGCCTCCACTGCAGCTGGTCCCCTCTGTTTATAGCCAAAAATAAGATCTATCCATTCATGAAGATGAGCAGAAACATATTCAGACTCCTATAAAAAGGACGAATGCAATAATTAACATAAAGATACCTTCCAACTAACTACAATGTAAAGGTGGGTACTTTTTAAAGCAAAATCAAATTAAACATTTCCACACAAAATCTTACCACTTTAAATAAAATTATCGTAAAATCTTGTTAAACTTTTACTATTTACTACTATCTTGACTATATTCTATCTTGTACAATGTAGACATATTTGTTAATATTGCTACAAATGCATCTCCTAACTAATGGGTAAAGAAAATAACATAAATCTTCTAATAGCTCAAATATTAACGACAAAAAAATTAATGATAGCTCTGGAACACGTCTTTGTTGTGCAATTTCCAGTGAAAAAGTTGTCTAAAACTTCAAGGAAAGAAATGAAACCACAATAGAGTAGATTAAAAATGCTCCAAATCACTCCCTCCATTTCACCCTATCTAGCCCCACCAAGAGGTGGACTGGATGGCAGGCAGAGGCCTGAATGACCACCTAGAGCCTCCAAGGCGACTTAAAGGCAATAAGAAAATTGTTATTGGAGACAGGAGAAAAGGGGACCATGTTTTCATTACATGAAATTTAGAAAAGGTACCTAATGAACTTGTGGATATGGGGATGGAGATTTCCAGGCAGAATGTTTTTACGTGCTAACTGGCCTCTTTTAGATGCCTGTGATAACATGTAGGAGGAGTAATATGAGCTTAAAAAAAAAAAAAAACTGTTTGGGGTTTAAGCATAATTTTAAAAAACATAAAGGAGCCAGGTCTTGCTGGGTTCAAAATAAAATTATTTATTTCTAATATCGCTAGAGAGCAAAGACTTTTGAAGTGACAAATGGCCTAAGTTAATGATCAAATCAATGTCACCAGTAAAATACAGTCTCAGGTGAAGTTTAGTCCAAGAGCGTGGCTGTCAAACAATCTGTTGAGACCTCAAAGATTTAAGGTTGTGCATCATAGTTGCACTCAAAACAGAGCATCTCAAGAATTCTACAGAAAAAAGAGACAATAGGTCCCAAATGGAGTCACTTGTGCTAAGCCCCACATCAGCAAACCAAGACTTATTATCTAACCTCATTGCAGCTTCAGCCTCTCCCAGGAATATGATCTATAACCAGACAATCTGGAATTACGTGATCAGTCCTAGTAAGGTAATCTGCATGACAGAACTTTGACCATGTCTGAAATAGTCCACTTTGTTAGAAACATCCTTTTCCTTCTTCCTTTCTGCCTATAAAAACTTTTCATTTTGTACAACAGCTTAGAGACCCTTTCTATTTGCTAGATGGGATGTTGCCTATATCCTGAATCACTGAATAAAGCCAAATAGATCTTCAAATTTACTCAGTTGAATTTTTTTTTTCTTTTTTTTAACAAGAATCTTAAGGGCATTTTCCCACAGTAGCCTGCCTCTCAGCCCAAAAGAGATAAGGGACTGTTTTGCAAAGTAACATGGAATGGTTTTTGTCCAATCACAAAATGTTTAAAGAAACTGTATTAGTTCAGACTGAAAGAGAATCTGTTCAGAAAAGACAGAACTTTGGCTTCCAAGTTACTATGGTTAGTAAAGAAGCTGATAAAGATACTCATATAAACAAAATTATTTTTAATAAAAAAGAATGACTCAAAGCAGGTGTGTGGGGGTGGGGGTTGTCCAAGAGCCCAAGGGTAGAACAAAAGAGCCATGGAGAACCACTCCTAGGGAATAGCACTAGACCCTAATAAAGGAACTGAGCACATGTCCCTGCTGGAATTCTGAGTTGTTATAAACCAGCTACTACAGTGTCTCTTGTTTTCTCTCCATTTAGAATAGGAGTGTCTATTACTCTTCTGTTCTTGTCACACCACTGTTGTTACATGGGGGCAGAAAACTTGTTTTTTTTACTTCTCAGTCTTTTGATCCAAGAGAAGACACTCCCGAGTAGTTTCACTCACACATGAACCTGATTTAGATGAATAACAAGATTCTGGACGTCAGGCCTCAAGCCTTAATACAGGAATCAGCAAACTACTGCCTGTGGGCCAAATATTACTAGCTGCCAGATTTGTACACAAGTACAACACAGCCACACCCATTTCTTTTGCACTACAATGGCAGAATTTTGACACACACTTTATACACAATGAAAATATTTACTATCTGGTTCTTTATAGGAAAGTTTAAAGACCCCTGCCTTAAAGAGATGAAACTTTGGAAGGGTCTTGAGAAGAAATATGCATAATTTGCATGTTGGAGAAAAGTGAATAATCTGGGGCTAGAGGGGCAGACTCTGCGTGGTGGATTAAAAGTAGCTGCAAATTCTTTCTCAGTTCCATCCCTGAGAGATGAAGTTTTTTTCCCTTCATTTTGAATCTGCCCTGATTCTGTTATTGTTTAACCATTACAAAGCGGCATAAGTGATGCTGTGACACTTCACAGCCTTAAGCCTTAAGAAAGTGTGGAAGCTTCCACTTTTGTACTCTTGGGGAGCCCTGAACAGCCATGTAAGAAGTCTAGCTACCCAGGTAGAGAGACCACATGAAGAGCTATCCTAAGATTATATGACGAGAGAGAAAAGTCCAGCACCCCAGTGTCTCAATGAAGTCTCCAGATGACTCTAGACTCAGTTGCCAATTACTCTAAGGGTATGGGAACCTCAAACAAGACCAGGAGAACTGCCCAGATGAGACCAGTCAACTTACAGAAATGTGAGAGATGATATAATGGCTGTAGTTTAAAGCCACTAAATTTTGGAATAGTTTGTTACACAGCAATGCATAACTGAAACATAACTTCTAACATTTTATTAATAAGGAGCATGTCTTCATGAAATCCTTGGACTCCCTAATGCATGTCAAAAATAATACAGAAAAAAGCATCTGAGAAGTTCCTGGCTAGCTATAAAAGATTACTTTTCAGAGTTGCTTTATCAACCCCACCATCCCCAATTCCTTAATCAAATATTATAATCTAATCCTGAATTTGGTAAATTTGACAAACTATGTACTAATGACAAGGAATATTTCCAAGTATTGGCCTAGTTAGTTTCAGAGTCGGCAACATTTCAGTTTAGATAGAGAACTAAGTGTGTTATTGTGGAGAAAAAAAAATACATTGCCTGCAAGATAATTACACAAAATCAACATTAAACTAACTCTCAATAGTCGTTTGATTCCAAACTGGAAATTTAGCTAAAAATTAGTAATATCTTTTCAAGTGGCATTTAGGATTTAGCTATTTTAGTAAAAAACTTACTGAAATCCTTCAGAGAAAACAAAACGTACTTATCCTTATAAGATTTCAAACAAATGTGGGAACTACAAAACATCAAACTATAACAGCTTGGTGACTGAAATACTTTCACATACAACAAGCAAATATATTATAGAACTGAAATTTTTCTTTTTTGCTATATATCCATGGGACTGTACTATACCTTCACAATATCAGATTTATAACCTCAAAATAAATTACATAATACTTTCTAAAACATCATCTATAACAGATTACAAATTAATCTAGAAAAATAATTAATAGTCAGATATACCCTAGTCCATCCTCTGGAAAACACATACATCTTTATCTTAATCTCACTAATAACTAAATACAAAAATCTTACCAGAGCTTTCCTATGTTTATAGATGAAATCTTCAGCTGACTTAGCCCATTTGGGGAGAATGACATCATTTACTAGTTCTTTGGAAACTTGTAGACGACCCAAGTTAAATTCTAAGATGTGTAAAATAAATGTATCAAGTCATTTTAGATTTAAATAAATCAAGTAAAACAAATATGAGGGCACATTCCTTAGGAAAACTGAATGCTTTGTTTCTTCTTTAGTTACAAGTGAAAGGTGAGAATAAAGTTCTCTTCTTGATCTAAATTTACTGAACACGTAAATATAATTATCTACTGGAATGCATTTATCAGCTGATTAAAAAAGTAAATGAAAATAAAAGTTTTAAGTTAGTTATTACAAGGTAGATCAGATTCATAATTGTTGTTGTTGTTGAGGAAAATGAGGTAAACTATAGCTATGACCAAAACCTTAATCTGAACAAAAACTCAATATTAAGAATTCTTCTTTAATTCTTATATGAATTAAAAATAATTAACTTATTCCCTCTAATAGTTAATTTACAAAATACAGCTCCTTGTAACTTTTTGGTTTAACTTAAAACTGAAACTCACTCAATGGAAGAGTTATACTTGTCTATAGAAGAACAATACATTTACGTACAACTATTCTAAATAGATACTGATATCATAAAGATTTGCTCATGTTAGAACATATTATTTTGATAAAATTATACCAAAGATGGTGTTTTCTTATTCATACAGTGTAGGAAGGAAAAAGTGTTAACACAAAAGGCCTTCATAAAAGAAACTGTCTTAAAATATCAGTGTGTCCCAAAGTAGGAGAGAGGTTTAATATCATAGAATGATAGGACACACTGGCTCTGTTAACCCAATCACTGAATAGCAGATGTTTGTCGCCCACCTGAGAGCCATTCTCCATATATGGAAGAACCTTGATTTTATTCAAGTTGTCTATCCCTGCCCTGTAATTCATGCCTGATGCAGGTGACTGATATAGGGGTTGGTATACGACCCAGCTCTGGGCAATAATAGGTGGTTATAAGAAAGGGTTTTTCAGTCTTAAGAAATGACACAAAGAATTAACAGTCCCACTTCTAAACCACTATTTTATCTGCCTATGATACCTAGAACTGTTGGTCATTTGTAACCATGAGAAGAACTAGCCAAGGACAAAGCCAAAACACTTAGAATAGCAGAGTGAAAATTCAGAAGGAACTTTGCTTGGATGATATTGTTAAGCTATTTGAAACTACCACATCTCAGAATTTTTATGAGAAAAATAATAAAATTTTCTTGCTTGCACAATTATGAGTTGGTTTTATTAAAATCTGTTTTAGTAAGTACTATAATACTAATATTGTTTTTTGGCATTCTAACTAATATACTTTGCGTACGCCCACCTAGCTCATTTCAAAGAAAGAGGCGATGTATAGTTAGAAATGGAACCCACCGGGACAGCAGTGCAAGACAGCAACTGGCTCTGGTGAATGTCAGAAATTGTCAAGCTAAGAGTACCTTAAATTCTACATGTAAATTTAATCTGCTCATCCCTCCAATACCATATACTCTGTTTTAGGAGACTCCAGTCCTTTGACTAAGCATCCAGACTCAGTCAATCGATTCACTTGATTTTCTGAAAGTGACCAATTCTAACCACCTTAATGTGAGAATCAGATGCCCTGTTTCTAATTGCCTGTCCCAAGGTGCATGACCAAAGGACATGAAGCCCTGATATGCTTTCCCCAACAAGTAATTTGATTGAGCAAGCAAAGGGTCAAACATTAACATTACATGGCAAGGGAGGAAAAATAAGTTGGTAATGGTCCTCTGACACTGTGAATTTCCCTAAAGAACATCAATAGTAACAATCTTGCCAATTTCTTTATTTGTGCTCTAACTAAATCTAAAACTACCTCATAGAAAAACTACTTGGATATTCTTAAAGACTGTATTTAGCTCCATGATTCTCTACTTTAAAAACATGGTTTTTCAAATACTGTGGTAACTTAATGCCTGTCATTTTTTTCAATTTGCCTCCTGTCTTTTGCTCGAAATGAGGAGTCAGCAAACTTTTTAAGTAAAGGGTCAAAGAATAAGCATTTCTGGCTTTGTGAGCCCCATGGCCTCTGATGCAACTACTCAGATCTGCTGTTACTCTGTGAAAGCAGTCAATCTGTATGTAAATGAATTGGCTGGCTGTGTTCCAACAAAATTTTATTTATAAACACAGGAATTTGTCCAAATTTTGCCCATGAACTTGTAGTTTGCTGATCCCTGGTCTAAATTTTCATCTTATTTAATTCAAACACTTTTAACCTGTATGGCTGAAATAGCATATGCCCATTTGCTTCTCTAGTGAACACTACTCAAACAAATTCTCTTACAAAATTAAATTTGACTCTATTATCTTAGTTCACTGCAGCACTTCCCTGGAAGGTAAGACTAGTATCTGGGCATCTACTAAGCCCTGTCACTAAATAATAGTCAGAATGAACATTTAATAATCTATAGGACATCATAAAAATGTCCTGAAAGATATTTTTCAGGATACTCCATGAGACTTGTAGAGTCAAATATTTAATCTCCTATTTCTTACGATTTTGATTTTCCAAAAACTCTGGGAAATAGAAGAATTCAGGAATAAGTTCCTTCACATCATTTGGATTGTCCATGAGAGCCTGCCAGGTAGCAGGGATGGAATGGAACTGTCGATCTGCACAATCGAACCTACATGTGGAGGTTGAAAGAGAACAGTAAATACTGAATTAGAGAAATAGAGCAACAAGCATGAAACAAACCTTTAAACTCCTTTCAAGTTTCCTAATGATTAGAGTTTTTCTTAACTTTTTATTTAATGTCTAAAGATCAAATTACAATTTGATCTCCTTCTTATGACAATCTATCTTCCTTACTCTGTTGTCAGGAATAAATACTATCATTTTAATCAATAGCATCATCTTTGTTAAAATAGTTGAAAATCAAATGACAGTGGAGAAAATTTTCAAGTAATTAAATTACACTTGATTTTAGCTAAAAGTCTGAGAAGCGATCAAGTAATTAAATATAAACTTAATCTATCTTTAAAAAATGGCCTGTCACATAATTTTTGCTAAGTAAAATTTATTACAGAAAGTGAATGTTATTTGGATCTTTTTAAATCAAAGTTTAAATATCAAAGTATTATAGTAGTAATATATGTGGTTAACAGATCTAGTGGAATGCTGCTATTTAATCCTTCTATACATAAATATCTTTACAAATTTGCTAAAAACCAAAGGGTAATTAACAAAATAATTCTGTGGCTAAAGGTTTTATATTTTACTTGGATATACTATTATCTTCTTATAATGTTATATTTAAGTTCCATCATGTGCCTCTGGTAGTTGAAAGATGTTCACGTGGTTATGCAGCAATTTGATTATTCTTTCTCTAATCACAAAAGGCATAAACTCATTCTGTTCCATCTCCAATTTTGTTTTCCTCGATTTATTAAGTAATGACTTACTAACTAAAACTGATGATGAATTTGACTCTTTTTGTGCCTACAAATCTTAGTTTGAGGAGGAGCAAAACTTAGCAGAACACTGAATTTAATTATAGTCAATGATTGGGTCATCAATAGAGAGTCTAATGTAAAGTAACATTTGAAGATGTGTAGTATCCAAATTCAAGAAGACATGCAGCTTTAATGGTAGAATCTTTTTGTTTTGATTGGAGAAAACAGCTTTATTGAGATATAATTAACATACATATAATTTACTCTTTTTAAGTGGAATATTCAATGGTTTTAGTATATTCATAGTTGTACATTCATCACAATTAATTTTAGAACACTTTCATTATTCCAAAAAGAAACCCTGTATCTATTGGCTGGCAATCTTCATTCACCCTACCTCCACCCCCTAATATACTTTCTGTCTCTATGGATTTGCCTATTTTGGATATTTCATATAAATCATACAATATGTGGCCTTAGTGTCTGGCTTCTTTAATTTATCATATTTTTTTCACGGCTCACACATGTAGGATGGATCAAGTTTTCATTTCTTATATTCAATCATGGCCAACTAACATTCCATTGTATGAACATACCACATTTTATTTATTCTTTTATTAGTAGATGGACATTTGGGTGTTTCCATTTTTTGTCTATATAAATAATGTTGCTGTGTACATTCATGTTCAAGTTTTTGTGTGAACATATTTTCAGTTATCTTGTGTATATATCTAAGAGTAGAATTGCTGGATCTTGAGGTAATTCTATGTTTATCCCTCTGAAGAACTGCCAAACTGTTTTCCATAGCTCCATCACTTTACATTCCCACTAGCAGTAAATAAAGATTCCAATTACTCAACATGTTCACTGACATTAGGTATTATGTCTTGATTATAGCCATCGTTGTGGGTATGAAGAGATATCTCAATGTGGTTTTGATTTAAATTTCTCTGATGACCAATGATGTTAAGGACCTTTTCAAATGTTTATTGGACATTCGTATATCTTCTTTAGAGAAATGTCCATTCAGATCTTTTGTGTCCAGTAATCAAATGGATCACTGGTCTTTTTATCATTGTGTTATATGGGTTCTTTATATAATCTAGATGCAAGGCCCTTATTAGATGCACAATTTGAAAATAATTTCTCCCACTGAATGAGTTATCTTTTCACTTTCTTAATGGTGTCCTTTGAAGTATAAACAGAATCTATGTTTGAAGTTTTGTGAAAAATCGTTTATTCAGAAAATTATTAAAAGCTGAAAAGATCCAGTTATACTTCTCGGGGGCGGGGGGGTGGAAATTACTTGCTATCGTGGTAAAGTAACATTTGAAGATGTGTAGTAATTTTGAAAGATAAAAGCTACATACAAAGAGAGCAGAACAGGCAATGTATACATAGCTTTTGATTGGGTAGGAAAGGCAAAATGGTAATGCTAAACAGTAAAGCAACACAGAAAATGGAGACAAAATGTGAATAGGTAGAGAGCTACCTAAACGATTCACTGGGGAACTGAGGAATCATGAAGTTCATTTCTTTAGGATCATTATGAAAATGTGTAATGTAGGTAAGTTATAAAACTGACAGGTAATACAGTGGCATCATAGCCCTGTTTGAGCTACTACTAATAATCTAAGAACCCCTTGTTCTTCCTTCTTTTTATTCCTCTTCATTAAGAAATATTCTTAGGAGGACTACACAGGCATTGGTTAGGGTTGAATATCTGGTAGATGTCTTGATCTAGGTCTAAATCAGTTCTAACTCTAAATCCCTCGTGGGTTCCTAAAACCAGTAAGGATCACAAAAGTACACTGGGTAACAGTAAAAAGGAATTCTCCTTAAAAGTTATTTGTGTAAATCAATTTGAGTGACCCATTCTCAAACTAGTCTGGCTATTTTTTTTCTAGAGGCTATATGAATCAAAATCTAATAGAGGAAAAAAAAAAGAGATATGACCTGGTTATACAGCACATGACATGAAGGCAACTCATTTTCAACATTAACTTGTAGTCTTAAGAAAACAGTGTATTTACCCAAAACATACCTTCCACTCTGAAGCTGGATGTGGAGTGTGGTGAATGGTTCTGTACGAATAAGATAGTGCATAACCCCAGCAGAATTTGAATAGTGAGTACCATAGTGAAATTTATCAATAGTACCCATAGGATCCTCGAAATTTTCATATCTAAAAAAGAAAACTGAAGTTTTGTAACCATGATAGTAAAATGAGGAGGACATAAGCTTGTATTGCATTATTGAAAACACAGATTTAGGAAGTCCTTTTCAATGTTTCATTATCTATGTATTTGTATCATCATACTATGTTAATACATGAAAAAAAATTTTACTAATTAATACCTTTTTCTGAACAATAAAATATCAGTTATACTGAATTCTGGAACAGTTCTGTATTATGCAATAATACATGTTCGCTGTGGATAAATCAGAAAACACAGAAAACCAAAAAAGAAGAAACTTAAAATCAACTATAATTGCACTTCCCTGAGATAATTAATATTTTGGTGAATATCTGTTAATCCTTAATATATAAATGAATACACAAATATGGTTCTATATTAAAGTACTTCACATAATATATTGTTCACAACTTACTTTTTCATTTAACAATATTCTATTAATGTCTTTCGAAATGACCAGTCTATTTTTAATAGTTATATGGTATGTATAACAGATACGTGTATAAATGTATGACAATTTAAACTATTTTTTATGTTTAGATATTTAGGCTGTTTCTATTTTCTGCTATTGTAAGTGATGTGATAATCAGATATTCATTTTGGCCAAGATAAAGAAAAAAACATATGGAGAATCAGTCAATAACCATGAAAATGAATGCCTAAAAATCTAAAGGTCAAAGATGAAGGAAGGAGAGAGTGGAGAGGAAGAAGGTCTAAACCAGATTATTAGCAAAGGGTATACATAGTAATTCTGCAAACATGATCACTGATATTCATAGGTCATGATTTGAATGGTGACATCTGAATTAGTGGGTATAAAATCTGAATAAGAATGAACAGTATTTCAATAAAAGGCAATAAACACTGACATTTTTAAACCAAAATACTAATCAGTTCATCAACCTGAGGCCAATTTCTTTTATATAGAAATCATTAATGTTCAGAGGAATAAAGATTGTTTCCAGGTCAAAGTCATTTGTACCTATGCAAAAAAATATACTATTGAAATTTAAAACAACTTGTATCTTTGATTACCAATAAGTTGTTATATGACATGTATTTCCTGTGAGATAGTGTTAATTTAAAAACTTTTATTTTGTTATTGTCAGAAAAAAATGTTTGACTAATAGCAGTGAGGTAATACATATTCAGCAAAATTCCTCTAGTAAGTCAAATCAAATATTAAATACTATAAAAAGTCCTGGGGAAGATTTGCAAATAAAAAGTAAAAAAAAAAAAAAAGAATAATGTACCAGTACTATATACTCCTAAATATATCTACAACTAAGTTTGTTTGCAAAACAATTCTTTGTCCTTATTATTAGAAATCATAACTGACAACTCATCCACAAATTCACATGGAGAAAAAGGGAAATTAAAATTAGGTCAGCAGCTTGCTTAAAAAAAAAACTAGGAGACATTTACAAGATGGATCATAAATATACAGAACTATAAAATCTTTCTTTCCTTATTAAAATGACACTTTTAAAATTTCCACACATTTACTGTTTTTTGTTGATATTGTTTGTGAATAATGGGTTAGTATTATTAATTTTATTTCTACTAAAATTATATTAGATGGATATTCTTATATATTAGATTAGTACATTATTAAGTCTAAAATACTTGGGGAGAAAAGTCTCAAGAACCTATTATCCTTTAACACACATTTATTACAAGGTGAAAAGAAATTCTAAACATCAATTTAAATTTGGCAAAGAAGAGAAATAAACAGACTGTAGTTAAAAATACTTGAAGAACAACTGATATACTTTCAAGAAAACATAATGAAGGAATTATCAAACTCTGATTATCAAAAGTAAGTGTGCATTTAAAGACAAACACTTGGTTGGCCACAGATATCAACACAAATTCAGACAGCAATGGGTATCTTTCAAAATGATAAAAGGCACTTACTTTTCTCGCATGGCTTTGGCATTTTTATCATTAACTACCCCAATTGGTTTGGAAAGATCTCGAAATACAGATGGGTTATTAAAGTCCAACTCTTCTGAAGTATAATCTTGTAAAATCCAGGGAAACTAAAAGACACAATTTACAATTTAGACATTTCCTTCCTAAAAAAGCTACTATCCCCATATCTAATATCAAGTGCTTATCTAAAGACAAAAAGGAATAGTCTTTAAAAATTTTTTTCCCTGCTGCAAACATTTATTCATCTTTATTTCAATAACCAGAAGCATTATGTCCTACCATGCCACAGGAATATTTTTAATGAAGCAAAAGTAAAAAGGCTTTTATTTTTTAATTATTCTTCATGTTTATATACATGAAAATTGTATATATTTAAAAACTGCCGGGTAGAAAATATAAATAAAGGTAAAAACACATTTTATATCTTTAAAAAATAAATATAACTATCATGCACATATATTTTTGTGATTATAGAACTGAAAGGCAATTTTGTATTTATGAAAGTTATATAAAACTTACCACAGGGTACTGCGCAAGGTCATTATAGGTTCGTCCTGCCACTGTATTTATTTGAATGAGGTAGTCAAAATTTGATATTTCTCTATTTACCCATTTCTGATAGCACAAAAGAACAAAATCAAGGTTAATCTATATCTCTTAGAACTCATTAACTATTACTGACAGTACTAACATTATCTTTCATTCTATCACCCTTCTGATAAAAGGAATGGGACTTTAAAAAAGTCCTAACAGGAACATAAAATCAATATACTTTTCCTAAATTCATTTCCTTTTAAAAATTGGTCTCTAGAAAGACAAATACCATATGATTTCATTTAACTGCGCAATCTAAGGAACAAAATATATGAATACACCAAATGAAAACAGACTCACAGATACAGAGAACAAACTGGTGATAGCTAGATGGAAGGGAGTTGAGGGCTGAGTGAAAAAGATGAAGGGATTAAGAAGTACAAATTAGTAGTTACAAAACAGTCACAGAGATATGGAGTATGGCATAGAGAATATAGTCAATAATACTGCAATTGTTAGGTATACTGCCAGGTGGGCACTAAAGGTGGTCTCTAGAAGAGGAACAGAAAATTACACATAAATTTTACACTAGTCTCTAAAAGGTCTTCATAAGAATTATTTTCTCCAATTAAATATTTTATTGGATACCTTAAAATTTTTAATTCTAGGACTGTCCAACTTTGAAAATTTTCTGTCATAAATGAAATTTTCATGTGCACATATTAAAAAACAGTATCTTAGTGTACTAGAATGATCTATGAATTTTAAATAAACATTATATTATCCTCAGAAAACTACCTCTATAGAACAACGGTAGATAAATTTTGCTATATTAGATACAAAACTTTCTAAAAAAAGACATAATCATTATTTTCATTAATCACCTCATTGCACCTAGGCTGCTAATTACTCTACACGATGTGGGTATGCCAAAGAATTTTGCTGACAGATTAATATTCAACTTTAAGCTTACTGTGCACCTTAAGCAAAGTACATACTTATGGGAAATGGTGAGAAAAATCTATGTATACAGATTTCATACAAAGGTCAATTATAATTGTTCTTGAGTGCCAAATTGAGGAATCAGTACTTCAATGAATAAAGGTTATTCCACAGAAAACGGAATATATTTGATTAAATAAAGCTTATTCTCACATGTGGTAGGAAAAGAACTGCTGATGACTTCTGAACAAGAACAACACTTAAGATTAAGAGTAATGCATATGTAAGAGCCAAGGGGAAGAGACCTAATTAGGAAATTGCTAATAGTCCTGGAAAGCAAAAAAAAAAAACAATGGCCTTTCCTTGTTTAGCAGTACAAATTCAAGAGATGATGGGGTATAAGTGAGAAAAAAAAACATGAGAGCATCAGTTAGCTTTAGCTGACGGGAAGGAATGGTGTTTTGTTTTGTTTTTTAATTTTTTTCCATGGTGCCCCTTTTGTATTGTCCCATTTTTTACCTCATGCATGGAATTAAGAAAAAAAAAACATTATTTTTAAAAAGAGAAAATTATTAAGAAGGAAAAATTCATATGATATGCTCATAAACTGAATGATATGGGAGTTGGAGGACAGGGTACTACATGTGTGAGGGAAACAAATATTCAAAGATAATTCAAAAGATCAATCTAAATGGATGAAGAGCAGCTGTAATAAAAGTAATCAGATGAAGAAAGTTTTACTTTTAGGCAAAAGACTGATATATAAAATGAACACCAAAAGAGTTACTGTTAAAATTTCCCACCTGTGTCAGTCCTGATGCTTTGAATAACTCCTGTGGTGATCTGGTTCCATAACTATTTGGAGAATGAAGTGACAATAGTCTGCTATACACTTTGTTTCTAACCTATAAAAAACAGCATTTTATAATTTAAAAATTGATCAAGACAAACAAGGATTATGACTTTATAATAGCTTTACTAAGATAATTGCCATACCCTAAAATCCACCCGTTTAAATATATAATTCAATGGGCTTTTCTGTATATTCAGAGTTCTGTAACTATCAATATTGTCTAACTCTGGAACATTTTCATCATCCCCCAAAAAATCCCTACACTCACTAGCCATCGCTCTCCAATTCTCACTCCCTCCCATCCCCTAACAACCACTAATCTACTTTCTCTCTCGATGGATTTGCCTATACTGGACATTTCACATAAATAGAGGATTGTGGTTTTAATTTTTCTATTATGCTAGATTTAGTGAAGTCAAGACATGTATTTCTTGAGAAAGTTATACTGTATAATGGAATGATCATAAGACATTGAATCAGAAAGCTAATTCAAGTCTAGCATAAATTTAGTTCTGTCATTTACTAATCACGTTGGCTAATTAATTAATTACGGAGTCTCGTTTGTACATTAATCATAATAATCTCTACCCTTATGGTTTTGTGAATTATTCAGTCTATACAAATGTAAAGTAATAAAATTTATCTCTGAACTTCAGTTTCTTCATCTATAAAAAAAGGAACAAAATTTTCCATATCTATTCTCAAAGGCGCTATGTGCTTTAAAAATTATAAAGTTATACAAGTGCACAGTATTCAACAGAAACACACTTAGTTTAATTACATGACATAGCTTTCTAAAATACATACGCTTTGTACTTTCCTATAATGAAAAATTTATTTTTAATAATAAAAACGTATTCACTTGTAAAAATAGAAAAATGTTCTTAAAACATCTGAATGAAACTGCATACAAGTACCTTGATCTCACAAATGAACAGAAACTTATTGACTGTGCTAATCCAGGTCATCTGAGAAACAGACGCCAAGACAATTGAATATGAAATTATTTTATTAGGAGGGATGCCTGTGAGAGAAAATGGAGGGAGAGCTAAGCAAGGTGAGGAGAGAGATGTTAGACCGTGAAGCAAGTATGACCCAAAGTGAAAGAGGGAAAGAAAGAGGTGGGTGAGTAATGTGCCAAAGGTTACACAGCTAGGGGTGGAGCCGATATTTGCACCCAGGAAACCTGGCTTAAGCAGTAATCTATTAACCACTTACATTATTTAAGAATTTACTCCAGAAGAAATACATGCCCCAATATTGTTGACTTGAACCCAACTAATTTCATAAATCCTGTCATATCATATATATTGCATGTTATTTCACAATTAGATACTGTGAGGCTGACACTCAATATTCTACAATCTAGCCATATGTAAAAACAGAAAACAAGCACTCTCTAAACATTCAAACATAAATTTCAACAGAAATTCATATACTGCTTAGCCCCCAAAGTATAAACTTTCTCCTGCAACATTCTGATTTTAAAGAGTCCAAAGTTTAATAACAGTTCACTAACTGAAAAATTATTTCAAGCTAATACTGTGGGGCTGCCAGAAAGGTAGCGTCTTACATACCTCTTTCTTGAAATTGAGAAAGTAGTTAGATTGGTCAACATGAAAAATCTCAAGGGCCGACCTCCTTAAGTTGTAACGTCGTAGGTGAATCTCTCGAACTTGAGAATGAGGCCACTTGAAATCAAAGCCTACTCCTTAAAACAGAAGAAATCTTGTGACTAAGGTATCAAACAAAGTTGTTTGTGCTATGTAGAAAATATCTCCTAGTTATTGACAAAAATAGCACTCAGGGAAAAGCAATTCAATTTCTGTATAACAAAAGCCATTTCTTAAATTTACTGGATGCTTACATCATTTCTCTTAAATCTATTTTAAAACTCTACAGCTATTCTAATTCCTTCCCATTAGAATAGAGAATAATTTTGAACATTATATCTTAGAAACATTTTTCCTTTTCTCTTTATGTTGACATCTTAGATTTAAATAATATAAAAGATTCGGTGAAAAGTCAACAGAAATAAGTATACATATAAATAAAATTAAGATTATATTTTACGACTTATGTTTATAGCAATTCCTTCTAGCCATACCTTTTTTTAAAAAAATAATAAAATGAAAGCATTTCCTTTAATATACTGTTGGATAACAAATTTAATCCCAGACTGACTTTCCATTTCTCCTTTAACATGATAGATTACAATATCACAGTCCCATCTTATTGCTTTTTACTCATTGATTGATAAACTAGATACTTAACTATTAAACAACAGAAATTATTCCCCCAGAACTCCTCACCATCTTCTTTTTCAATGCTGCCATCATAGAAGTAAATGTGTTGAGTAGTGATTTCTAATCTGCCAGGAATTATGTCAATTATTGTAATGAGTTCACAGTCTACCGACAACACCAATTTTTCTTTTTGATCCTGCTCTTTCTTCTCATCACTGTAAAAACAAAAACCAACCAAACAAAAAATTCAACAATATATTTTGTGTAAACAGAAAAGAATACCATATTCAAATACAAATCTCATGTCTGTAAAATTAGCATCCAATAGAGTATTTGAATTATATATAAAAAAAATTCCACTGTGCATTAAATTACTTAAATACAGTTCAAATATTCTTATTACCCAATAACTCAGTTTCATGAAATGTTTTACATTTTAATTATATATGACCTATTAAAACAAAATATAGTAAATCTTTAATACTACTGCAAAGGTTATTAGTTCAAACATGCAGTAATACTGGTAATACCATTTTAGTTATATCTGAGAGATATGAACTGACCCAGGAAATATAAGAATTTGTGAATAAAGAACTGCATCATTAGTGGTTTCAAAAATAATTATTAAAAGTACTTATTATGATTAATTCTTAAACTGTAAAATGAGATTTTTCAAAAGCAACTCAAACTAGAGCATCATCATCATAGTATCCTCTCACTATGGAACTAAAGATAATACTGCTAATCCCATACCTTACTTAAAGTGAAGTCATCTCATACTTGGACAACTGATACAATTTATATTTATTGAAGGTAATAACTGGGAAGGGACAGTCTTCTGGTGGCCCAGGTGAATTTTTAACTGCCAAGTACAGAAATGAGGACTTCTGCCACTCACAGAATATTAAAGAAGATCCTTCAAGCTAGCTGTTCTCTCGTCCTAGCTATTTCACATGAGTCTCGTTTCCAGGATAGCAATACCTAAGTCTAATTTTGTTTCCAAGGGATTTCCATGAGGAAGCTTTACATGTATCCCCAACCTATCTGATAATATTGCAACCCTTAATTTAAAGCTAAGTTTTAAAAATAATTTAAAAATTAAGACTGTTTTCTTAAACAGTGAAATTCCAGTGTTTACTATGATGAAATGGAGAAATAAGGGACCTAAGAATGTAAGCAGTCTGAATGTTATTCAAAGTCTATGAAAAAAAGTGTTTTGGCTTCTCAATTTAAAATGATTGAGAATGACGTCCATTGAAGTCAGTAGTCATTAAAGAAAAAAAAATTTCCTAATAAAAATCTAATATACTAAAGATGGCTTCCTAAATAACTACCCTAACCAAGTTTCCTGAAAATAATTAAGGAAATTTTTTAAAATTATTAAAATTATATGAACAAAAAGTCTGCTTATGCCAATAAAGGACTATTAAAACTGATCAATTTGTAATATTAAAATAAATTTCAAAGAAATATTTCCTACATGTAATTTATAACCCAAACAAAGTAATGTTCATAAATTATATATTTAGGACTTAGCTACTCATTCTTGGCTAAATGTGAGGCTTTACAAACACAGAAAATAAATTCAGGGCAGATGTGTAAATCACCAAATTTGAATGCATTCCCTAAGCAATATATAGATCCATGGGCAAAGAGTGGCAGTCTTACTGGATCAAGACGTTTAAACTCAAACACAAACTAATCCTGGCTGACCACCAAGCTCTACTTACCCAGGGGCAAACCCTAGTAGGCCAAGCTTTAAAAACAAAATAAAACAAACATCCAAATGAGTACAGACATCACTGGCAACACACTGCAGGTAGAACAGATTCTATAGAATTAGTCTAAGCAAGTCACTAAACTAACAAAAAATATATATATATAACAACAACCACCACTATTGAGAGAGGGGATCAGAAACCAGTGTGGCTATGATTTATTACCTAAAATGCACAGTTTTCAAAAAAAAATTCTGTGACATACAAAGAAACAACAAGTCATAAACACAAAAACAGTAAAAAGAAACTGTTTCTGGGAGACTGCAGATGTTCAACTTAGTAGATAAAGACCTCAAAGTAGCTACCATAAATACATTAAAAGAACTAATGGAAACTATGTTTAAAGGACTAAAAATGTATTATGGTAATACATTCTAGTCAGTGATTATCAAAAAAGACAGAAATTTTATATATAGTTTTTAAAAAGGGACCAAATGGAAAATTCTGGAATCAGAAAGTACAATAATTAAATGAAAAATTCACCAGAAGAACTCAACAGCATATCTGAACTTGCAGAAGAAGCAGGACTCTTGAAGACAGATCAAAAGAAATTATCCAATCTGAAGAAAACAAAGAAAAAAGAATCAAGCACAATGAAAGAGCCTCAAACAAAACAACATATGTGCAAAGGGAGTCCCAGAAGGACAGGACAAAGAAAATGGGCCAAAAATATATTTGAAGAAATAATGGCTGACATATTCCCAAATATGAAAAAAAATGACACATCTAGGAAGTTCAATGAACTCCAAGTAGGGTAAAAAGATATCTATACATAAACATAAATCCAAGGTGTTGAAAGCCACGGACAGAAAAGAATAACCTAAAAGTACCACAATACAGGACATGATAGTAAGATTTATAGCACACTTCTCATCAGAAAGAGTGGAAGCAAGAAGGTAGTGAGATGACATATTCCAAATGCTAAAAGCAAAGAACTGTCAAACAAGAATTCTATATCCAGAAAAACTATCCTTCAAAAAAGAAAGCAATTATGCTGAGACAACTAGAAAACCACATGCAAAAGAATGAATATGAACCTCTACATCATGCCATATACAAAAATTAACACAAAATAACTCAAAGACTTAAATGTAAGAGATAAAATATAAAACTCTAAGAGAAAAATAAACAGGACTTCATCAAAATTTAACAAAGGATAGCAACAACAAAGTGAAAAAAAATCCATTCAATGGGAGCAAAATTTTTCAAATCATATATCTGATAAGAGATTTGTATCTAGAATATATAAAGCCTTACAATTCAATAACTAAAAGACAATTCAATTAAGAAATGGGCAAAGGATTTGCATGAAGATTTCTCAAAAAAATACATATAAATGGCCAACAAACACATGAAAAGATGCTGAGCTCCTTAGTCATTAGGGAAATGCAAAGAAAAATCATGAGATACCACACTGACTCTTCTAAGAAGGTATAAATTGAAAAAAAAAAAAAACAACAGAATAACAAAAGTTGGGGTGAATGTGGAGAAATCAGAACCCTTATACGTTGCTTGGAGAAATGTAAAATGGAATAGTTATTGTGAAAACAGTTTCACAATCCTCAAAATGTTATTCAAAGGATTACCATATGATCAGCCAGTCCACTTCTAGGTATATACACAAGATAACTGAAAACATATATTGACACAAAACTCTGCAACATGAATATTCAAGGCAGTATTATGCACAATAGACAAAAAGTAGAAACAACTTTATTGTCCATCAACTGATAAATGGATAAAAAAGGTGGTATATCTAAACGAAACATTATTTATTCATAAAAAGGAATGAAGTACTGTTTCATGCTACTACATGGATGAACCTCGGAAACATTATACTGAATGAAATAAACCAGACACAAAAGGCCACATATTGTAAGAAATACATAAAATGTTGAAAATAGGCAAATCCATAGAGAGAGAAAGCCAATTAGTGGCTGCCAAGGAATGTGGGGAGGGGAAAATTGGGACTGACTACTAAGAGGTACAAGATTTCCTTTTTGGGGGATGGGAATGTTCTGGAACAAGATAGTGGTGATGTTGCATAACTGTGTGAATATACTGAAAACCATTAAATTTTACACTTTAAAATAGTAAATTTTGTTATGTGAATCTCAATTTCCAAAAAATGTATCTTATTAATTTTTTAAAAAGTAGACAAAAATGAAGGCAAAATAAAGACCTCCATAGATAACAGAGATTTTGTGACTATCAGACCTTCCTTGTAAGAAATAGTAAAAGAAGTCCTTCAGGCTAAAAGGAAATGACACCAGATAATAATTTGAATATACACAAAGAAATAAAGTATATAAATATGGTAATTATGTAGCAAATATAAAAGAAAGTAATAGTTATATAGTTTTCTCTTAACTGATTTTAAGACAAGTACATAAAATAGTAACTATAAAACTGTAATGTTGGGCTTAAAATATATAAAGTTCTAATATTTATGATAATAAGATAAAGGAGAGCTAAGGAAATGAAAATACATTTGCTTAGGGGAAGTTTTAAACTAAAATTCAAAATTTTTAAATATATCTAAGGCTCTTCCTTAGGGAGGTTTAGTAATTTGTATCTTTCAAGGAATTTGTTCACTCCATTTAGGTTCTAAAATTTACTGGCAAAAAGTCAGCAGTATTTCTTTTTAATCATTTTAATATTTGTAGCATTATCTCCACTTTCATTCCTGATACTGGTAATTTTTGTTTTTCTTTCTTTTAACCAGCCTAGAGGTTGATTGTTTTGTTATCTATTTTTTTAACAAACAGCTTTAGATTTTTTAGATCTTTTTGTTTTTTGGTTTTCTCATGAATTTCTGCTTTTCTTTATAATTTCTTCCTCATGCTTAAAAGTTTATACTTCGTGCTATTTAAACAGATTTAGCTACATACCATAAATTTGATATGCTATGTTTTCATAATCACTCAACTCAAATACTTTCTAATTTCAAGGTCCAGCTCCAAGTTATCACAGTTCTAAGAAATCTCCCTCAATAAACTCAGTTAACACTGACGGACTCCTAACAGCTAATACAGTATTAACTGTTAGATCCTGGAAATGTACAGTATTAAAATTTCGAGCAAGTATCTTCCACAATTTCACAATCCTATTTCTCAAAACAAAATAATTTTAAATTCTTTCAAATACATATACATACATATTTACTCTGGCTGTTATTTCCTCTTCAGGAAGATCTAATTTATCTTCCTCCATATCACTAACTTTTACTTGTTTCACTACTTCCAAAAGCAATGAATCACTGGAAGGCTGTGAATGTTGGACACCTGTTTAATATTTAAACACAAAATATTTATTAAACACAAAGTAAAAAAAAATCATATTATAGCTCTTCTGTAAGTTATGACTGTTAATTATATGACAATAATGTATATTACAGGTAAAGAAGGTACTAAGCTCTCTTGATGAATTTTATGGTATCAACTGTATTGGCCAATATATTAAAGCAACTTTAAAAAATAAGATTTAAAAACTGGTACCCATTCATCTATAACTTGGTTATTGAATACAAGGTATACAGGTGGCTATGGTAACTACAATTTAGTATATCATGATTTGCCAATGACTCTAAACGATCAATATTTTGGGGTATTTCACAGACCTCTCTTCAAAAAAGGAGAAATGCCAAGTCAGATGGTTAGTAAAGAATGGCTTCCTAAAGAACTGTAGAAACTCTTTAAAATAGGTTTTGAAATACAGCGAACCTATTTATTTTTAAGCACTTTTTTCTAGAAAAAGACAATGGCCCATCTAAGATACTGTGTGTCTAGAATTCCGTAAGAACACATCACAAAAGAAAAGCCTAAAGAGTTGCTAAAATTTCTAAATATATTTAACTTTAGACTAAGCCTTGGTAAGCGAAAGGCCAAGGGAAAAGGACCACTGTTTCGCTGTGCCATGATGGATATAAGGAACGACACGTTTCACATGAACAACAGCATAACTTCATGGTTTTAAATTGTTTTTGTTTGAAAAATTACAATCAATTGAAATAGAAATTAATATTAGATTTAGGCCAAAAGTAACAGCATTTAACATATACAACCAACCGTTTAAATATCAATTCTAAAATGTCACCATTCTTTCATGAGTAAATAATTTTTAAACAATTAATAAAACAGTAACTGACCCCAACAACACCCTTGCTATCTTCAACAAGTAATAGCCATTAGAACTCACCTAGATTATCTCTCAGGGCACTAGCTTCACCGTGGGTTTTGAAGTTATAATTAGGCACCAATTTAAGTCTCATGCGGGAATAATTTTCTACATTAGCTAGTTTCCAATGAATTGGATTTTGTTTCCTATGAATATTCATAAACAGAAAAATTATTTAGCTTAAAGTTACAAAGATTAAAACAGAGTAAGAAAGCATTAGGTATTTAACATCTGGTTAACACAATTTTATAAAAACATTCACATTCATTATCTCATTTGACTCAAATAACCCTAAGAGAAAACCAATGCTGAGTATGGGTATCTACAGTTTATACATGAGGTATCTGAGACAGACTAAATTATTTGCCCAAGGTGTCATGTGATTTACAGGTAGCAGAAATATGATTTGAACATAAACCTTCAGATTTACAGCTTACCTTTTACTCTTTCATTGTTATATGGAAGTTCTTAACCAGTTATACAAATTTATTCCAAATATAGTTTTCAAAATAAAGTAATCACTTATCTACAAATAAAGACAATATAATTGCAAATAGATCAAAGATCTAAATGTAAGAATTAAAATTCTTAGAAGAAAATATGGGGTAAATCTTCATGACCTTAGATTTAGGAATAGTTTCTTAGATATGACATCAAAATTACAAGCAACAAAGGAAAGAAACAGATAAACTGGACTTCAAAATTCAAAACTTTTGTGCACCAAAGGCCACCATCAAGAAAGTGAAAAGACAACCTACATATTTACAAATAATATATCTAATAAGGGTCTATTATTGAGAATATAAAAACTCTTACAACTCAGCCACAAAAAGTTAAACAATCCAGTTTAAAAATAGGCACAGGGCTTAAATAGATATTTTTCCAAAGGAAATACACAACTGGCCAACAAGTACATGAAAAGATGGTTGATGTCATTAGGAAAATGTATCAAAATCATAAGATACCACTTTACAACTACTAGGATGCTCATAATAAAAAAAAAAAAAAAAAGGAAAATAACAAGTATTACTAAGGTTGTGGAGAGACTGAAACCCTCAAATATTGCTTATGGGAATGTAAAATGATACAGCTGCTATAAAAAACAGTTCAGCAATTCTTCAATAAATTATAAATTAAACACAGAATGACCATACGAGCCAGCAATTCTGTTCACAGGTATAAACCCAAGAGAATTAAAAATAGGTGTTGACACAAATACTTGTTCACAAATGTGCATAGCAGTACTATTCACAACAGCCACAAGAAAAACAATCCAAATATCCTTTACCTGATAGACAAAATGTGGTATAACCATATAAAGGAGTATTATTCAGCCATAAAAGGAAAGGAGTACTGATAGATGCTACAACATAATAAATAATTCTCTTATGCAATGTGAAAGAAACCAGACACAAAAGACCATATATTATATGATTCCATTTATATGAAATATCCAGAAAAGGCAAATCCAGAGAGTCAGAAAGCAGACTCGTGGTTGCCAGGGACTAGGGAAAGGGATAAGAGGCAGTGACCAGTTAATGAGTCCAGAGTTTCTTTTTGATGTGATGAAAGCATTGTTAAGCTGTACAGTGGTGGTGATTACATAACATTATAAATGTACTTAATGCCACTCAACTGTACATTTTTAAATAGTTAAAATTTTATATTATGTGTATATTACCACAATAAAAAAGGACTGTAAAAAAAATCTAACATAACACAATATAATATTATTCAGCAAAACAGTGACAGAATCAAATAAAAAAAATTGTAAAATATTCAAACACAAAGCATCACTAACCCTAGTTCAAAGAGGCAGTAAGACAGAAGGAAACTGACTCAAAACAAATTCTATATCATAGGATAAAAGGAAAGGAAATAAATCCATGGCGAAAAACATATATACACAAAGCTCTAAATATACCAGACCTATAATTTATCAAAGATAAATCAATTAAAAGCAATCTTTTATAAAAATTTTTTGTTTGTTTTTGAGGAGGGATAAAGAGATAAGTCTCTGTTCTTAAGGAGCAGAGTTTGGGAGACAGATATATAAACTACACCATAATTCAGAATGTAAAGAACTCTAATGGTAGAGATAAAAACTAATTCAGGTCTATGTCTTGATTATCATTATGGTTATGAATATCCCCAATTTGAAGGTAAGATAACTGAGGCTGAGAATGGCTACCTTCCTAAGGTCATGTAGCTTATAAATGTCAGAGTTGGGACTTGAACCCAGTGCCTCTGACTTCAATACCCATTTGCCCTAACACTGGTGTCTTACTTGATCTTCTTTCTCAGTAACAAAAACTCAACTCCAAATCCTTGGTATGCCTTGATTTCTGCTACCAGATTGATGCTACTATGGAGTTCTTGCTTATTGCCCCTGTCTTTTGCCACTGGGCTCCACCTTACTAGCAAAACTAACTACATGCTGCTGGCATATGTCAGTGAATTGGCATGGTTCTTCATTCTGAAACCACACAGCCAATTAGTAGTCTTCCTATGGCAACTAGGACCTTCTCTGTCTTATGCTAAGATCTCAGATGCAGGCCACATTATGGTTTCTTCTTCAGCACCAGGTCCAGGGAACAGCTCCAATAACCTCCGTACTGGCAACTACCACTCACTGTTTCATCTGAAATGCTCTTTCAGGTACCATAGTATAATGGTCAATTTTACATTTTTGGTTTTAAGTAAACAAAACTCAAATTACTTATAAGTACACAAGATATATGTTAGCGTTCATAACTTGCAACTCCAGGAGTGCATTTAATCTGGTTGGATCCAGAGGCTTAATTAATTAAATAATTCCACCAGAAATCATTTTCCCACATAATGGCTGAGATGGCTACCCACAGCCTCAGACTCATGTTCTGTTAGCTTGGTGATCCCTAAAGACACAATTTACCCTGACAGCACCAGTAATAAAGTATCAGGGAACAGTGACTGCCTGACATTTGAATCTGTGATTCTTTTGTGATGAGGTAGGTTGGGAGGGGCTGTATTAGAGTGGGTTCCTCACAAAAAGGAAGGGCTTTAGTACCAGAAGGAGGAGGATGTGGTGCTAGAAACCCAAAAATAACAAGAGTTCCTGCAGCTAGCATCCTCAAGAGAACTCTCACAACTGACAAATAACCTGAGGCCTGTTGTGGGATAGAACCATCATTCCCCTTGGTAGTGCCTGAACTCAGTTTTCCAGAAGAGTCAACAAAAGCCTCAGATTATACTTCACCTACTTCCTCACTGTCCCTTTTCTAACAAATAGGTTTCAGGGACACATATGCAAACTGGGTCCAGGGCACCTTGGGGTGCCCTGAAATGCCCCAGGACTGCTATGCAAATAAAATCCTAGCACTAAGTTCAGGTTACAATTGTAACCCTATCTCTACGATGCCTATAGTGCAGCCTATTTTATGATGGCTTTACTGAATGTGTAGCAAACGAATATTTTAAAGAAAAAACCTGAATGTGATAAAACGGGCACTTCCTTAATTTTTGCAAACAAATGAGATACTGTTGTTCACTTCATCCATGAGGAATTCCTTTGCAATTCTTGTGTGAGACGCTAGGTTTTCTTTCATTTATTTTTTTATTTTTGTCCCACCACCATTTTTTTATTCCCATCACCAACACCTCCTTTGGCAATCTTCGACTTCTTTTTATCTATGTGTCTATTTCTATTTTGTTTTCTTTATTCATTTGTTCTATTTCTTTAGATTCTCTAGATAAGTGAAATCATACAGTTATTTGTCTTTCTCTGACTTATTTCACTTAGCATAATACCCTCTAGGTCCATTTATGTTGTCACAAATGGCAAGATTTCATTCTTTTATATTTCTAAATAATATTCCATTGTGCATGTGTGCAAGCACACACGTGTATGTGTGTGTATACACACACCACATCTTCTTTATCCATTTATCTATTGATGGACATTTAAGTGGCTTCCATATCTTGGCTATTATCAGTAATGCTGCAATGAACATAGGGGTGCATATACATTTTTGAATTATTGATTTTTTCTTTGGATAAATGTCCAAAAGTAGAATTACTGGATTTATGGCAAGCTCTATTTTTAATTTTGTGAGGAATCTCCATACTGTTTCCCATAGTGGCTGCACTAATTTATAATACCACCAATAGTGTATGAGGGTTCCTTTTTTTCCACATCCTTACCAGGACTTATTTGTTGATTTATTGATGATGCCCATTCTGACAGGTGTGTGGCGATATCTCATTGTGGTTTTAATTTGCATTCTCATGATGATTAGTGGTGATATTGAGTATCTTTTCATATGTCTGTTGGCCATATGTATGTCCTCTTTGGAGAAATGTCTATTCAGGTCCTCTGCCTATTTTTTAATTGAATTTTTCTTTTTATGGTGTTAAGTTGTATGAGTCATTTATATATTTTATTTTATATTTTAACTATTACACATTTAAAAGGATATACAGATTTCATGCAATCCCTATTAAATACTGATAGTGTTTTCAGAATTAGAACAAATCCTAAAATTTACATGAAACCACAAAAGACTCCAAGTACCCAAAGAGATTTTGAGAAAGAATAAAGTGGGAAGTACCACTCTTCCTGGTATCAAACTACACTACAAAACTACAATTATCAAAACAGCAAGATACTGGCATAAAAACAAATATATACATCATTGGAATAGAACAGACAGCCCAGAAATAAATCTTTACTTATATGGTCAATTAATTTACAATAAGAGAGGTAAGGATATACAATGGAGTAAAGACAGCCTCTTCAGCAGTAAGTAATGTTGGGAAAAAAATGCAATCAAATGAAACTGGACAACTTTCTTACACCATACACAAAAATAAACTCAAAATGAAGACTTAAATGTAAGACTCGAAACCATAAAACTCCTAGAATAAAACATAGGCTGCAAACTCTTTGACATCGCTCTTAGCAATATCTTTCTGGATGTCTCCTCAGGCAAGGGAACAAAAGCAACATGGGACTACATCAATCCAAAAAGTGTTTGCACAGCAAAGGAAATCATTAACAGAACAAAAGACAACCTACTGAATAGGAGAAGATATTCACAAATGAAACATCCAATAAGAGATTAATATCCAAGATATATAAGGATCTTAGACACTAGTTTCACTTGGATTCTAAAATTCATACACTTTTTTAACATTCATTTTGCAGCCAAATGAGTATGGGCCAAGTGATTACAATCTCTGCCAGCACTTTCTTTCCTCCATTGTTTGTTTTCCAAAGGTCATCACTGGTAATAGTTGAACAGGTTTCTTTGTCTTAATCCCTGCATTTTACATATCTTAATGATACCCCAGAGAATATTTTAAATCTTAAATTTTAAAAATTTAATATGATTGCTTTAGCATTTTTGCATGTCTTTAAAAACTGTAAACCTAATTCTAATGGATGCATAATATTCCAAAAAAAGGATGTATATCTTCATGATTCACTTCACATATATATATATTCTTCACCCATTTCTCTCACCTCCCATTCTTTTATATATTGAATGTATTTTTTTTTTTTTAACTGGATTGGAGAGGCCATTGACTTAAAAAGTTCTAGACCAGAGTTCTAAAGATAAAAGGACACTTAAATAAATAAAATACTTCTACCTTTCGGCCCAAGGTCCCCTTTCACATGTAAGATAGAGTTGAATTGCCTTCCAGCGTCTCAGAGTGGCTAACTGTTGACTGCTAAGTTGTTTAAGCATATTATTATACCTCAAGTTCTCTTGGCGTGCTTTTCGATTAAATGGCTCCACAAAAAACTCCTGAAAGAAACAGCAATAAAAAGTACCAATGAATCACATATTCTTATTGCATTTGCTACGACTTATAGAACAACAGTGACTGGAAGTGACGAGAGAAGAAATTCCTGTCTAGTTCTCTATTTTGAAGGAAAGCATTCAGTTTTTCATCTTTTTATATGAACTTGGCTATAGGATTTTTGCAGAAATAGAGGTAGTTCTCTTCTATTCCTAGTTTGCTGAGAAATGTGATCATAAATAAATGATGAATTTTGTCAAATATTTTTTTTGCATCTATTTTTCTTGATAAGTCTGTTAATGTGGTCCGTTATGTTGATTATCAAATATAGAACCAGCCTTGCATTTCCAACATAAACTCTACCTGGCTGTGATTTTATATATACATATATACATATTTACAAATATATCCACGGAAAAGCAGCCTTTTTTTACTTTCCATGGGTTGGCTACTCACCTCTGTTTCATTCGCTCTTCTCTCCCTTTTTGCTCTCTGTGCCCCTCTCTGCTGTCTTTTTCTGTTTGCATCTCTGTTTCTGTGTCTGTTTAAATATATAAAATTTTTCTAATTACACACACACACACACACACACTCTACTGGATTTGGTTTCTAATTACGAGCCTCAGAGATATTGGTCTATAGTTTTCCTGTACTATTTTTGTATGGTTTCAATATAAGGGGAATACTGCTCTCATATAATGAGTTGGGAAGTGATCTCACTTTTCTATTTAAGAGATTGTAAGGAACTGGTGTAAATTCTCCATTAAATGTTTGGTAAAATTTTCTAGCGAAATAGCCTGGCCTAGAGTTTTCCCTTTTGGAAAGTTTTTAACTATAAACTCAGTTTCTTTAATAGAGGACTATTCTGGTTATCTATTTATTATTGAATTAGTTTTGGATATTTGTATTTGTCAAGAAATCGATCCATTGCATTTACAGCATCTTATTTATGTGTATAGGTTCGTTTGTAGTTTTCCTTTACTATCATGTTGATGTCTGAGGAGTCAGTGTGATATCGCCTCTTTCATTTCTAATATTAGCAATTTTTAACTATTCTTTTTTTTGCCTTGTCAATCTAGCTAGAAATTTTATTAATATTTTGAAGAACTAGATTTGAATTACATTGAGTTTCTCTATTGTTTTACTACTTTCAATTTCATTGATATCTGCTCTTTATTGGTTTCTTATTTAAAAACTAATTTGGATTAGATTCCTTTTTCTAGTTTCTTAAGGCAGAAGCTTAAATTATTAATTTGAGGCCTTTCTTCTTTTCTAATATAAATATTTCATGCTATAAATTTCCCTGAGCACTGATTTATACCCAGACTCCTCAGAGAGATCCACTACCAGCTTAATAGACTACTTACATAATTACTATGTACAGAAAATATTGATATTAAATTTTTAATTGCTACTGATTGTTTTTCTTGCAATTCTGAAATAATTTTCAGACAAACAGTAGTAAATACTTTTTGTTTTCAAAGTTCAGACTTGTTATTACTCTCAATTGGATATTAAATGCTTGAAATCAACATTAAAAAACTGAATACTTAAAGTATTTAAAAATTTGTACCTGAAACTTGAGCTTGCTTTCTCCTCCTTCCCGGTCTCTTTTATGCATATTCACCATCAAGGCTTCATAACAATCCTTCCAATATATTGCCATGCTCTCATGACCATCATAAAATGTATGAGTTTCATACTGCTTCATGTAAGGTACAATCTTAAAAATATATATATATATACACAAAATTTAATATATACTTCTATAAAAATAATTTAGTAGAAAAATCTCAAAAAAAGATAAAACTTACATATTTTTCAATGTAAACTTGCCATTCATTTGAAATGCAATATTCTTGGAAATCTTCAAAAAATGAGGAACTACCATTGGTAAAAGGTAAAGAAGGCAGGTGTAAGTTCATGAAGAGAAGCTCATAAATTTTAGAAATGAGGGTACGGACAAGGGGAATCAGAAATGAGTAGATTTCTGTCTGGTCTTTGATTGACTGACTTAGAACATGTTCCAGCTTCCCTAAAATGTAACATGCTTCATCCTGATTTTCAATTACTTTCGTCTGAAGGAGGGTGTTTAGTTTAGCTGATGCCACTGCACAAACCTAGAGGAAAATAGATGAGAAAGAGCAGAATAAAGCAGACATTTAGTGATAGCAAAAGTTCTTTGGCTCTTCTGGTTTTGTAAAAAAAAAAAAATTATAAAAGTAACACATGTTTAACGTGGAACAGAAAAGTTGTGGTGGATAATTAACCACCCAACATCCATTCTATTCCTTCTTATAGTCTGCAAGGATGGGGAATGATTCCATTTTTAGTTCCAACAACAGATCTTAAAGGTTACAAGCCAAAGTAGAGTATCCAATGCCTTGCCACAGTGACTAGTTCAGGTTATGAATCTTTTAGTCAACTCATGTCATTGTCTCTGTCACAGGGATTTATTCAGGGGTAGCCTTATCAATGCAATATCAGAACTTTTACATAATTGTTAATAATAATAAAGGGTCTCAGAATTTACCTCAAGTCCACAGTAATGAGTTAGTCTACCACAGTTTCATGAGATACTGGCAGAAGATATGAGACTCCTGGGTCAGAGACAAAGATCTACAACATTAGCAATAGCCAGAATATCAGTATTTACCCTGGGTCCCCAAACTGCAATTCCCATATTAAGAGATGAACAGGACTAGATGATGCCTATACACACAATGGCTGCATTATAGGAAAGGAACTCCAAACACAGGGAATCCAAATCTTTTATATTGGCAGTAAGTGTGCCTGAATTTTGCCTCGGAAGGAGACACTACTTTAGTATACTGGACAGTAAACAAACCTGCCTTTTGTTCTAGAGGGAAGACATGATTTCTGTCTTCCAAAGTTGTTCACTATACACACATCCTCAGAAAAACAGTTCATAACATCTAGTGTCTCTATTCACAAGATATGCAGAAACACAAGAGATCCACGAAAGGCTGTCTACCAACAATGACTGCAGGAAGAAGCATTTCTTTCTCTGGATGTGAACAAGGAAGCATGTAGCCCTGATTGCTATTGGCAGCCACTTTGCGACAATAAGGACAGCCAAGCTTACGACAAGCTGACACATAATGGAGAAAAGTGCTCTGAGAACAGCAAATAAAGGGAACTGGAGCCCTGGCTGAATTACACCTTAAACTCTCTTAACTATGGAATGTTCAATTATATGAGCCAATAAATCTTAACTAGGTCAGTTTTGGTTGATATTTTTGTTATTCGGAATCAAAAGCATTCTGATACATAAAGGTACATAGGAGACCAAGTCTTTGATCAGAAATCTAATTACCCTTAAAGTTTCCAAAATACATATTCAGATCACAAACCCATGTAAAGGAATACTCTGCATAACTATTAAGCTTTGGCCTTTAAATCCCAACATAGGAAGGAAAATTAGGTCACAAAGGGGCCTCCTTTTGTCCAGGCTAGAGAAAAACCTAAGCCTTAAAACCATAGCAGGACAAACAATATAAAGTGCTTCCTTCTTTCTTAACCTATATCGCAATTTTGGATCTTACTGCTTTTGAAATAAAGAAAAGCAAGAGAAAAAGAAAGTATTAAAATCTGACATCACTTCAAGAACGTGTCTATGCCAAAAGCTGGCCTGAGCTGTATGTACATGTCTTTGAATGACAAGGCAACAAACAGACCTCGGGCACTCTTTCTATTCAAGCATTAAAGAAGCAAACAGCATTGGAGGAAACAATCTGTAAGATGACTCAAAACTTTGAACTTTTCTACTTTTAACTTTAGCTTCTACTAATGAACCTTCTCTATCCTCTTCAGATTTCCCCTAAACTCCCCTACTTTCGTCTTTGAATCTGACTAAAGCGGATTAATTCTAATAGAGGCCAACAAAGGTAAGAAACAAAGTCATACATTTTCCCACAATGCTAATATTCTGGGGGTTTTGTGCTATGTGTTTTTTTAAAATACTGTTTATATTGTTGCAGGAAGCGACACCTGATGGAGGGAATTGGATGCTCAGACAACTTTGTTAGAGGAAGGAGAATTTATTGCCTGCGGAGAGAGTGGGACTTTCACCAGAACCAAAACACGAGCTCCCTTTGGTTAGATTTCTTACAGCTTATATACTCTTGCAGCGTCTATGCAAGGGGTGCATGATTCCGAGGTTTCACATGTGCCTCATGATTCAGGATGGGGAAGAGGAGCTTCAGGTAGGGGGCTGCAAGAGGGAAGGAATTTCCAGACTACTGATCTTATCTATTTATAGGTCGTTTGCCTTGTAGAACCCGCAACCTTGGCGTTATTAACACTGTCATAGGATTCTCAAACGGAGAGATGGGACACCAAGGCTATAAGCAGAAAGCACTTATTGATGCCGGCACCAGCTCAGAGGATTCCTATCCAAAGGCTGAGCCCCGATTGTAACATAACAGGCAGTTTTATACAGTCTTGTTATTCCTATACAGATAAGGAAGAACATTAGTTGGTTGGCAAGCTATGAATCAACAGATGTGAGCTGGAGAGTCCTTGAGGTGGGGGAGGTAGTTATGGAAAAACAAGTTAGCTGGGAAGTCCTGGTGGGGGGAGGAGGGCAGTCAGGAATGGAATTTAACCAGCTGAGTCAGTTATTTCTGCAAGCCCTTTCCTTTGCATTTTTCAGATGCCTCCTCTCCTCTCTTAATATAAAAAACAGACTATTTGGGGCTTTGCTTTTAACTTAATATCATGGTATTAAATAAACTATAAATTTATATGTTTATTTAAAAGCATAAAGATACTTTTAATGAATACAAAATAATTTACTTGACCACTGCCTTAATTTTGGATACACACACATACTTCATAGAGAGGGATGATCCTCCCTTATCATAAAGACTGCATTAGGGTCACCTGATAAAGTACCAAAAATACTGATGCCCTAGTTCTCCTTTTCTAATTTAATTATTATGGGTAATGCCCCACAAAGGTATTTATAAAAAGCTCCTCTAGGTCATTTCATGTGCAGTCAGTGATGAGAATCACCACTGGCAGAGCTAAGACACTGGGAGAGTAGAAACCCAGAGAAAATCAAGACCATATACTACATCTTAATAAATGCAGCAAATCTAAACAATCATCCAGTCCCATTTGAGAGACAAGCTGGGAAAATTATGTGACATTTCCTACTACTAAAATATTGGCAATTAGCTAATATGTATGTGCCAAGCAAAAGAGGTTTGCTAGCCAGATTCATTTTGCAGGCAGCTCTATTTAAACCTCTACGAGGAAGAGGTTCCTTTTCCAGCCTCTCACATACACAGCCTCAGGAATATATGCTTTTATTTACAAAAGAATGAAATTAAACAAGTAGCTAGTTAGAAATATTTCAGATCACTAACTACTGTTATATAGGATCAGTCTTATCTGTAGGTGCTACATTCATTTATTTAACAAGTATTTATAGAGCCCTACTATGGGACAGGCACTGAATATTTAATGTTCAATAAATAAAATAGACATTTTATTTAGTAAAATTCAAGGAGAAAAACAGCAAGGGTGACTATAAGTGTAACAAAATATAATCCTAATACCCAAAATAACTACTTAGCATACTGCAGCTGCTTTAACAGCCATCAGGCTGATATTAATGAAAAAGCCAGAATAAGGATATTCTAATTCTTATTCTAATTCTAGGTAGAGAAAAGAAGAAATCTACAGTGAACACCTACATGTACAAAGACTGTCGGTATTTTAGATAACTACCTTTGTTTTAGAGAAGAATTACTAAACGAGTATAATAACTTTTTTAAAGTTCTTAGTTCATATGTTTTCAAGATGCATTTAAAAGGCTATACAAGTCAAACTTCTACCACCCATGTAACACTATGCCCATTTTCTTGTTTAGCTTTTCTAAATTTTCCATGTTTTCCACAATAAACATGTGTTACTTTTAAGACTATGGAAAAAAAACTATCTTTAAAAAGTTAGTAACATGGGGAAATGAGTTTGATACAATTGTGAGAAATAAAAATACAAAATTATCAAAAGATATGATTTCAATTGTGAAAAAATATATGCACAGAAAAAATACTAAAATATTGACAGTTGTTTTCTTTTAGGCTATGAAATGATGAGTGAGTTATTTACTTTTTTCTCTTTATGCTTTTGTGTGTTTTCCACAATGAGCGTGTGTTACTTTTATGAATAGAAAAAATATCTATTGAAAAGTACAGCCTTTTTAAAATAGAACAACCTTATGGAATTTTAACTTCTTTGTGTTCTTGCCAACATTATAGCAAGTTTATGTATATTAGAAACCATCTTCACCCAGACCCCCCCTTAACCTCAAGTACTTAATATTCCAAAATCAAAAGAAAATAAAAAGGGCCAGGAAAATAGGTATGGGATGGATACATGCCATGACTAAGCCAACTCAGGTAATCACAAGTATCCAAGGAAAATATAAAGATAACAAATTAAAATTCACATGGAACTTTCCCAACCTTTAAAATTTTAATTTAAAATAGGAATAATAAATATTCCTTGGGTCTATATTTCGTTTATCTTTATTTTGGAAAACTAGCACAATGCTAACACCTGATAGGTATTCAGTAAGTGATAATTGAAAAACTATAAAACAAAATGTAAAACTAGATTAGTGGGGTGCTAAAGTAACTGAAAAAGATTCTAAAAGGAACAACTTAAAAAAAAATTTTTTTTCCTAAAAATGCAAGCCCTAAACCGCTCAAGTTGTAAATAGTCTATGCAAGCAGGATAGCCCCTAGCTATACTAAATACAGATAATATGAGTAATGCCTTCTAATATAAGCTATGCATAAATCCTTTAAAAGGAAACATTATAATTATACTAGGTTATAAATATCAGGAAGAAATAATTAGCTGCCTCTTAAGCTTCTAATCTCAAAAAAATTAAGACTATTGTGAATTCGTAGATATTTTTGGAATAAAAAAATTAACAATACTAAAAACATTACCATTTAGTTATCACACAAATAATTCCTATGCCGCATGCCAGTATAGAAAATAATGTAAAAGAATTGACAAACCTGTAAATTACCCCTTCCAATAAATCCTAGAAGCAGCTGGATTTGAATCTGAGAGAGTTTTACCCATACTGGACTTTCAGAATACCAAACTGACAGACAGTCGAAGAGCAGCATCACATCCTCTAAAAGCTATCACAAAGGAAAAATTGAAAAAGAAAAACATTTAGTTCTTTAATCTATTGATGAGTTTTCCCCACGTAAAACAAATTATAAATATTTCAAAACTAGTTCAATGTCCAGTTGCCAAAAGAATTACCCTAGTAACAGCAAACAAAATCTATGACTATCACATCTTATCCATGGTTTATTGCATCTGATTAAATATTAATCTTCGAAAAAGAACGGGTACAAAATTTCTTTAAATAAAGTCCTTCATTACCAAAGAAATAATTTCAAAGAGATATTACTGTACCTTCTCAGTCCACATGTTTGAATTAACTAGTCCCTCTGACTGCAGAAAGTCCTGTATGATCAGCATGAGTCGGAAGGCATTCTGAGCAGTTACTGGATTAGTTTTTGCTTCTCTGTTTTCTGTGACTGCCCATTCCAACATCTTCTGTAGCAAACTAAGTGTAAAATAAAATCCTCTTAAAAACATTTTAAGTTTAGAAAAATAGTAGGGCATGGAAAAAAAACAATTATTAACAGGATTGTTATCTCCATAGACATGCTTACTGGCAGGTATCATAAAACATTTGTATAGAATTTAATAGCAAAGAAGCAACTTTCTAATTCTTGGAGTACCTATTTTTAATATACCCAATAATAAATGGCAAAATAAAAGTTAACCTGTTGACTATAAAAAGGCTATGAAAATAATTCACATTCCAGTCCCCTTAAGATACTTAAAAGTTTCTTTAAAGCTGAAATTGGAAAGGTTAGAAAAGAAAGCCTTATTATGCCTTACAGTGGGTCTAGCTATGTAGAAAAACAAAGAAGAAATTCTCTCCTAGTGAGCTATTATTATAGTGTTCTATCTTATGCAGGAAACTCAATGCTTTAGAGAAGTAATTTCCATGAAAACAATATTCCATTCCTGTAGCACAAAAACACTAAAATTTGGACAAGACTGTAGAACACAAGTGCTTAGATATTGCAGAAAACAACTTAAACAAGAACTATATAATCACTTAAAAATCAAATTAATTTAAGGCTTAAATTTCTTCACATTGGAATTAATTTTCGATTTCTCTCTAGATCCCACTAGAATGGCAACATAGAAAAGGGGCTGAGCACAAAGTTGCCATTTTTCTCTCTCCACAACTAGTGAATACTGAATAAATGTTCAATAACGAATATTATTTCAGACTCTTGCCTACTCCAAAAAGAAAGGGGGAGTCACCAACTGAAGGCTTACATTAGTTTTATTTCATCTGATGGTCGAAGTAGCTCACTGGATATTCCTGACTTAGTTAGTGCTGAAAACACTTGTCCCCGTTCAATCCAAGTATCATCGGATTTTTCTAGTCCTTTACACATTACATAGCTCAAAATATTTGTCAGCAATTGAAGAAGCTCCTCCTCACATCTCTATAAAAAATATAAAGTAATATTAAATCGTTGGAAGGAATGTTAAAAATATAAAGTAATATTAAATCATTGGAAGCCATCACATATACAGATTGCAATCCTTTAAGGTATTATTAAAGTGTCTATATGAACCTAGGTAGGTCCTAGAGATAAAAGGATGAATAAGACACTAGTTTGTTCTCAAGACACTCAAAAATTAGTAACATATAGGCTTCTAATGTCTTAGATCATGACACTTACAACATAAACATAATATGAAATTGTTAACAAGTACACATTTCTAAGGATTAGAATAATAGATATAAAAAAATAAAAAAAGCATTTGGACAAATAAGTATTTTACCTCTTGGCTTTCAAGTAAAGAGAAGTCATCACTAAAGCCCATGTCATTTGTGATGCTACTTTCTTTGTCAGACTGCACAGAAAATGATTTAGTAGACTCTACTGGGGATGGTGTACTAGGCACACTATCTGGCATTTGACTTCCACTATCACTCAGTTCACACGAGTTGATTCCACTCAGATCTAAACTCAAATGTGAAGGGTTATTGTGCCAGAATTCTTCTTGATTATCTGATTTGAAAGACAATTCTCCCACAGAGCTATCTTCTTGAAATAGTGGTGTGTTTGAATCTAGAGAATGTCTATCCTCTAAACTCCACTGATCCAAAGATACATTAGCTGAGGCAAAAGAGTTGATTTTTTCATCATCTGTCTTTTCATCAAAGTTCCTTGTAGCATCTTCAGCTGATATATTTTTATCATTGTCTTTCATTAAGACAGCCCTATTGTGCTTATGAAGAGCACTTCCATTTTCAAAATTTGTTTTAAAAAAAAGCCTAACTAAAGTGTCTTGCCAACCCACTTGTTGAGATATTTGATGTGCTGCATCTGGCTGGGACTGTAAAATCTGTAAAATCTGTAAAGAGATTAAGAACACAAAATTCATCAAAAAGTACACAGTACTTTACATCAAAAGTACTTTCTTTTCAGTTATTTTAAGGACAAAGTAATGACAAACTTTCAGAGGGTATACTTTCAGAAGATTATATTTTCAACTGGATTAAAAACTATTTGGAGGGCAAACACTGTGTTTGTAACTAATCTGAATATTACTCATTATACAGAGTAAGGATATACTCAAATATGTGCTGAAAGATAAAAAAGAAAAAAGGTAAATGATCCTCCACATGTCAACACACTCATGTTAATAATTTAATTTAGTCAGAGAGAACACATACATAGAATGAAGATATATTTTAAAATATAATAAAGATATATCTTTTTAACTAAACACTTTCCATGAGCATATAATATTTGGTTAGCAAATACTGAATATCTACCATGTGCCAGGCACAGTTCTGGCACTAGGCTTAGGGGAATAAATAGGACACACAAGACACTAATAGAACCTAGGTGTCCCAAGGATAATGTTTCCCCATCTCACTTTTTCCCCAAAGTTAATGTTGCTTTTGTAAAACTGTTTTTTCATTAACTCTATATTGTACAAAGTAAACAAGACCTAAACTTTAATCCCAAAAAGTAATTCCAATAAGATAGATGTTATTCTTTAGCTAGAATAAGAAATGGAAATTAAAAAGGAGATACTGACATGGCTATGGGTATGATCTCTACTATCCAACTTCACTTTTTTTTTTTTTTTTGAAATAAAAACAAGTTCTCAAACACTATCAGAAATTCAGTTAAGATCTTTAAGACATTTTAACACAAAGCCAATAAACTCCTATGTAAACGAAAAGAACTTTAGCTGCCAGGGTTCAGTTAGAGTATCTCTTCTATCAGAATTTCTAGCAGGAGATGAATAATGCTGGTAGGAATTTCAACATCAACAGTTCTAATCTACACGGATGCTGACACAGAAAGTAATGAGTCACAATGACATCAAAAGTTTCTTTATTAATGCTATCAATCAGTGAGCTCTCATTATTCTGCAGGTTCTGAATACCAATTCTTTTCTTTTCCAGATTAAGCTTTGCTTGGCAAACTTTTCATGATTTCATTACTTTCAAATTTCCATAAAATTAGACTTATTGTATTTCTACTTAATATATACATAATGAATAAAAACTAGGCTGCACTGAAAACTGTTTCTAATTGCACACTGAAAGGAAAGGATACATTTACGTGTATTCAAGGCCAATTTGGCAAAATCCATCAAAATGTAAAAAGTGAATACCCTTTGACAACAGCAATTCCTACAGATGTATTACCACAAATACATAAAAATATATGTATTAAAAAATGTTCTTAACGGAAGTTTATTAACATGGAAAAAGAGGGAACCATCTAAATGTCCATCAAAAGAGAATCATTTAACACTTTAGAGACTAGGCCAAAAATGAAAAACTATGTAGCCATTAAAGATATATAACCATATTTCCTGATGGAAAAATACTGTGACATAATTAGGAAGTCAATTAAAAAGAAAAGCAATGAAACCTTAAATACTAGACAGGTCAGTGGTTACCAGTGGAGTAGAGAGAATGTTATAATCAGGAAGAAGCAAGGAGAAGAACTAATTGTTGGCTTAGTTAAAGGTTAAATGGGTGCACTGAAGGCAAATCATTGCTGGAATATTCATAAAATTATAGAAAATTTTTTCCACGAAGTTCGAAAGATTCAGAAATTCTAAAATACGGTATATGAATTAGAAATGGTTATAATCATTGAAGGTCCTTAATACAGAAATTATTCTCTTATAATATACTTTTGATTCTGGAAAGGGCAGAATCAAAAGTATATTATAAGAGAATCAAAAAAATTCCAGAAACCCATGCAGCTCTCAGAACAAATTCATATACTGATTGCTTCTGAGTACATGAAGTTAATTCACCTCAAAAAAGGAAACAATTTATAAAATTATGTCATTTATAAAATAAATATTAAAATGTGTATCTCTAGGTATGAAGTACCCTAGAAGTTATTCACAGTATAATAACATTGCTCTTTTTAAAGTATATCTTAAAAGTACTAACCTTTCTGCAGATGACTACTCTGACATTTATATGTGTTCTGTGAGATATATATACCACAGATAACAGGTCTCTAAAATTAACAGCAGGATCTATAGTGGGAAAAAGAAAAAACAAAAATTAAAAAATAAATTACAGAGATAACTGAAAAAAGAACTGTGAGTAACAATTATATAAATGCTGCAATAAATTATTTCATTTTTATTTTTATTTTTTGCTATCAACAACAGATACCCTTTATTTTTTTTCAGCTTTGAGATATAATTGACATAAAACATTAAAGTTAAGATATACAACATGATAATTTGAGATATATATGTATATATATATATATATATAGTAGGAAATGATCAACACAATAAAGTTTGTTAACATATCCAGCAACTCACAGTTACCATTTTTCTTTTTATGATGAGAACATTTAAGATCTGCTCTCTTACTAACTTTCAAGTATACAATACAGTATTGTTAACTACAGTCACCACGCTGTATATTAGATCCCCAAACTTATTCACCTTATAATGGAAATGTGTACTCTATAACCACTTCACCCATTTCCCCCATACTCCCGGCCCTGGTAACCACCAATCTACTCTCCATTTCTATGCGTTTGATTTTTTGGATTTCACATGTGCGATCATTCAGTATTTGTCCTCCTCTGACTTATTTCACTTAGCAGAATGCTCTCCAGATTCTTCCACATTGCCGCAAATGGCAGGATTTTCTTATTTTTTTTTTTATGGCTAATATTCCATTGTATGTATGTACACACATACACATACCCAGTATCTTCTTTATCCATTTATCCATCAGCAGGCACTTAGGTTGTTTCCATGTCTTGGCTATTGTGAATGATGGTGCAATGAACAGTGAGTGCAGATCTCTTTAAGACAGTAATTTCATTTTCTTTGGATATATATCCAGAAGTGGGATTGCTGGATCATATGGTAGTTCTATTTTTAATTTTTGAAGAACCTCCATACCATTTTCCATAGTGGCTAGACCAATTTACAATACCACCAACACTGCACAAGGGTTCCCTTCTCTCCACCAACACTTATTGCTTGTCTTTTTGATAACAGCCCTCCTAACAGGTATGAGGTGGTGTCTTGTGGCTTTGATTTGCATTTCCCTGGTAATTAAGGATGTTGAGCATCTTTTCACGGACCTGTTGGCTATTTGGATATCCTCTTCAGAAAAATACCTATTCAAGTCCTTTGCTCATTTTTAATTGGATTTTTTTTGCTACTGAGTTGTCTGATATCCTTATATATTTTAGATATTAAAATCCATGATCAGATATTGATTTGCAAATGTTTTTCTTCATTCTGTAGGTTACTTTTTTATTTTGCTGATGGTTTCTTTTGTTGTGCAGAAGCTTTTTAGTTTGCTATAGACCCACTTGTTCATTTTGAAATTTTTTGTGATTTTGGTGTCGTATTCAATCTATCACTACCAAGACCAGTGTCAAAAAGCTTTTCTCTACATTTTCTTCTAGTAGTTTTATGGCTCAGGTCTTACATTTAAATCTTTAACTCATTTGAGTTAATTTTTGTGGATGGTATAAGATATTGGTCCACTTTCATTCTCTTGTATATGGATCTTCCCTTTTCCTAACATCTTTTATTGAAGAAACTACCTTTTCCACATTGAGTATTCTTGGATCTCCCGACAAATATTAGCTGACCATATATGTGTACGTTTATTTTTGGGCTTTTGATTCTGTTTTATTGGTCTGTGTCTGTTTTTATGCCTGCAGCATACTGTTTTGATTACTATAGCTTTGTAGTATAGTTTAAAATCAGAAAGTGTTATGCCTCCGGCTTTCTTCTTTCTCAAGTTCTTTCTCAACAAAAGAACTGTCCGTAATAGTTATAGTTATAATAATAGTTATATACATAGTTATATATAGTTATAGTAATAGTTATATAAATGCTGAAATAATTGTTTCATTTTAAATACAAATTATAGATATGTTCAAATTTTAAAAAGACAATAGGCTTAAAATGTTTGATACCTTCTTAAGCAAACCCTAAATAACTTTTTTTTTTTTCTTTTTTTGATTACCTGAGCACACTGTCCAGGCTGCTTGGAACTTATACTATTATTTGTCATTTTATGTATATGTTTTATCTTAACAAGATGGTAAACCACTCAAGACAAAGACCTTACCCTATACCTTCTTAAAGCCCCAGCAACTGCTATAATTCTACAGTTTGTAGTATGTACTAAAAAAAGGTTTATTAAAAAAGAGACTATATGAAATTAGTGTTAATTCTGTCTTTAAGAATTTAAGCTTCATAAAGAAAAAAAATTTTTTATACATATTTTCTCTGGTGTCCTTTTCTTGTTATATAGAAGCGATCATTTACTATTCACTCAGTCAATAAACATTTACTGAAGGCCTACTAAGTACAACACTGTTATATCCTATGGAGACAAAAATAACAAAGGTACACAAGAAATAGTACCCAAGGAAGGCCCTGCTGAGTTAAATAAGAGGTATTTAAAAAACAACCTGAGTAAGAAGGGAAAAAGAATCTTCTGGAAAAAAAAAAATTGAGAAGCAGCAAACAGAACTACACAAGTATAAAAAACAGTTCTTAATAGTTATCAGTATTATCAGCTCTAGTCATACCTGTGTTTATAATTTGATTGGTGAGATTTTTAATGAGAGAAGTATTAATAAGTGATTCACTGAGAAGGAGTCCCAATCCTGAGTAGCCAACTTCTCTGAGTCGAATACGTTGTTTACTTCGTTCATAAACATTCGTGCATTTCAACATTTGTTCCATAACCTGGTCACAACAGTAATATAGTCTTCTCAATAGAGAGAACTAAGAATAGTTTGTCAGGTCAATATTGAATAAACTATTACTGTAAGATGTTTATGGCGCATAATTTTATTCCTTAAGTATATAAAAATAACAGCACTAATGAGGAGCACTCTTTAGCATACTATCATAAAAAATGGATTTTAAAATAAATTGGACTGAAATACACATATATTTGAATAACTTATACATTAAAAACTCTAGTTTACATGTATTTCTTGGCAGATAAATTAAAAATTTTCTTTTAATGGCTATGACATAGGTGGAAACCAATGCTGCAGCTTACAAGAGGAGCAAAGGTGCGTTCTGAAAGCGAACAAAGATACTTCTACATCAACCTAGTAATCTATTTATGTAACAGTTATCAAAATAATTTTCAATAACAAGGAAACATTTTGTGAAGCAACACTTCCATATGCTAAAATGGGAGAATTAATAACCTCCACACTTCTTAGAGTGAGATTTTTCAAAGTAAGATACTGAAACCTTATATGGAAAGGGTAATTTTGGCAAAATAGTATCATTAACTATCCTTCCATGGCCATTTCTGAAGAAATAACATTTAATATCCATAAAGCAACACTTGTGTGGGCAGATGCTTTAAAGAATGGCCTCAGAGGTCACCATAACCAATATTGGAGAGAGACTAGGCCAGACCATTTTTAATACACCTTTGTTTTTCAAAGTTTAGGGATTTCAAACAGCCATTCCAAACAAGACCTCATAAGTAAACTTTATAATCTAACACTAATGATGTAAGAGAAAACAACTGTTCCATAGCAATTAGGCATAATGAACAGGAGAACAAATCATGAAAAAAAGAATGTATTTGGAGTAGAAATATTACTGACTCTTCTACATTTGGTTAACAAAAAAAGATGGAGTGGGCAGCTTCAGCCAAAGTTCAAAGTTCCGGATATTTTGGATAGTTTAATAAAATATGTTCTATATCCTTTGACAAGTTACAAAATTCTCTGCCTCAGTTAATAAATATCCGCTTAATAAAGTTATCAAGAGCATTAAATCAACTAGTATTTGAAAAACGTTTATAGCCTGACAAATAATGAGTGCTACATAAGGTTAGTTATAATCTGCCATGTAGACCCATTGTAAGTCAAAAGGGAGATGAGAGGTTTTATACTGAGGATGGTATGACAAAGTACATTTTGCACTAAAATGATTGATCAAATTACAATATAATTAGTTTTTTAATATGCAAACGAAAACAAAAAATACATGTCATAACAAATTTGACAATTTAAAATTATAAGTAGAAGTAGATATAACGAAGAATTTACAGTTACAGAATGGATATGTTACAAGTAAATTCATATACCCACAAATGCCCCAAAATATGAAGACATTTAAGAAATATTTATACCTTAAAAATGATTTCTCTCAGTCTGTCAGAATACTTCTGATTTAAGAGCAAGGCATAGAGTATGTCAGCATTTCCTGGTTCAAACAGCAGTAAGAAAAGCTGACCTCTAATTGGGCTGGTATGTAGGAGACTGAAGATTATATCCAAAATTCCAAAGAGCTTTTAAAAGTAAAAAAACACACACACAAAAACAACCACACTCATATACGGAAGCACAAATAAAATCATAAAACAGTTATTTAACTAAATCTTACATAACCTAATGTTCTAGCTTAACTGGACTACCTGACGTCTTCTGAACTCTGCCTTTCCCCAGATTATGCTTTTGGCTTATTCCGTTTCCTTTTCTATATCTTCTCAATACCATATTTACCTGCTGAGCCATACCTCTCCTGTTTTGTCCATGTGAAAAGCCATCTCTTCCATAAAGCCTTTCCTGGTCTCCTCAACATGTAATACTCATCTATAAAAATCGCATAGGACTTTGCATCTCTATTACAGATGTTATCATACTCTTTTTTGTTTCGTAATTATTTATAAACCTCTTATCCACTCCTGCCTCCATTAGGCTAAAAGTAAGAATGATAATTCATTCACTGTTATAAACCTACAATGTCTAGTATTATTCTATGTATGCAGTACGTTTTCAATAAATAATTCTTTGGTTGAACTGACCAAGAATATACCATTGGCAATGAATCTTAGCAGGTAACAATATAACTATCTTGAAATAAATGGCTACTCATTACACTAACGAGAAGCTTTCGAAGTAGTCCAACCATATACTGAAATAGCTAACGTTAACTCATCTATAATGCCAATTATGAAGTCATGTAACCACTGAGTAGACAATGAATATTTCAAGAAGAGGAATATATATTTGAGTCAACATAAATTAAGGCTGCTCAAATTTGGTGTTAAGTGATATATAGAAAGAACACAGAAATAACAGTAAATACACCTGGGTTCTAGTCCCAAATTTATCAGCTGTGTGACTTTTTAAGTCACATAATCTTTCTGAACATACATTTCCAAAAGTGCAAATGGGAAGAGTAATTCCTGGTCTGTATATTTTATATCAGTAGTTCTCACATTCTACCATGCACCAGAATCACCTGGAGGGTCTGAGTCAGCAGTATATTTGCAGTTCTAAAAAGTTCCCATGTGCAGCTGGTCAGAAACCATATATTTAAGACCACTGTCTTAAAGAGTAGTTCTGAGGTATAAATGACAAATATGTATAAAAGTATTCAAGAACAGAAATACATTTATAATTTAGTCTTTATGCAAAAATTTTTTGAACCTATGTTATGCTAAAATTCATGTTAGAACTCTGCCCAGTAACTTTCATAAGAGGTAAATATACATTATGTGGCCTAACAAAATAGGCTTCGGAATTGCTAAAGCAAATATTTTCACATAGCATTTTCTAGTTCATTAAAATCTTTTGTTACACTGCCATCTAGTTTATTACACTTTCAGTTAGGAGATAAAATTACTTTTTTAATTGCATAATATTGTATGTGACACTGTAAACATTTTACTCTTAAAATATATTTATTTTATATGTATAAGTTTAAAAGATGATATAGTAACTTAACTGTTAAAAAGAAAAAATAGATTATTTCAGACATAATACCTGTTCTTCTTCATTAATAGCAGCTATGTAACCCATAATACTTTGTATCTCTTCATGAGTTCCACCTTTGCACAGAAAATATTTAATTAGTCCATATAAAGAAGTCCTTATTGTTCGAATATCATCTAGAGACAGCTCACTATATTTACAATCACTCCTGAAAAAGAAAGTAAAAGTGCCAGAATTGAAATTTAAAATTTATATTTTTGCTTTTTTTTATATAAAAGAATTCATAGTTTAAAAAAAGATGTTTCCGTATCATTAGAATTCACAATATAATAATACCCTCATAAATTTAATTGAAAAAAAAAATTCATGGTATCTTTGACTTCTTTTTCTACTTAAGGAAAACCTTTCAAAGTTAGGAGTTTCGATGACAAAGATATAAACTGTTAAAATGGCTTATATTTATGCAACACTCACTATATGGAAGACACAGTTCTAAGTGCTTTATACATTAACTCATTTAATTCAATCCTCAAAACAACCATAGGATATCACAATTTTATTATCTCCTTGTCACAGACCAGAAAACTTAAGCACAGAAAAGTTGAGTAAGTCACCTACAGTTAGATAATTAATGAAACATAAGATTCAAACATAAAATGATGAACAGTATGTGATCTACTGTTCATCATTTTAACTTCTACACTAACCTACCTCTCTGAGTTAAAGTATATTAGAAGTGCTGGAAAAAAAACCAACCTAGATGTTCTAATCAACTAGCAGGCAGAAAACATTATCGAACTGAAAAGGCATAAGAACATCATACCCATAATAAATCCTAAGTGTATCTAGGAGAAACTGCACACCATACTTCTTTCGGAAAACTCTCCTGCTGTCTTTGATGATGGTGGAAAGATACTGTATATGACCTAAAATAGAAAGCTCACTCTTAAATGATATACCTAAAATAAAGTCACATACATAGTTATAAATTTCTAAAACAACTATAAAATTTTATCAATAGCCTGCTCTCACCAATTCTAAAGGGAAAATCTCCACGGTTCCAAATACGGAAATCAAAGAGTAAATACTGATACATCTGTTGCAGAAGCTGCATGTTTTTCTCTATTGATACCTGTTCAATTAGTAACTGAACTGCCATCAATACATTAACATCCATCAAGGTGTTTGGCACCTGAAATCCAAACAGAAGAGGGTTCTGTAATGTTCAAATAATTGTCGTTAAGCTATAATTTCAAATAAATTATTCAGAACATCTACTAAATACAAAAATCTTGGTTAGGAAAATGTAAACAACTTAAACATTAATTTTTCTAAAGTAATGCTGGAACGTATGTTCCTAATGTCATATTCCTAAAATAATCTTAAATTGATCAAATATTCCAAACACGAAAGCTAACAAACAAGGTCCTGTAGATCAAAGATAATATACTGTTATGTAAGATAAGTAATTGTATAAGGTGATTCAATATAAGTTTTTAAGGTGATTGTATATATACAGAAATTGTAAAATCTGTGAAATAAGTTATATCCACTAATACAACTTAAGCTAAAATAGTGTAATTAAAAAACATACTTACTTATTAGGAACAAAAATTCCAACACTAACCGCTAATTATAATCATCAGCCACACCTACAAAATGTTAGACTAGCTCACCTTCTGAAGTAAGGCACCGAGAGTGGCAACTCCATGGGAGTGAATAAGATTGTCCTGGTTAATAGGATGTCTTTGAATAAAGTGTTTTATAATCAAGATAAATGTTGCAACTAAGCTTCTCTCTAGTCTTGACTCTGTGGAATTGTGAACATGTTATTATCATAATTACTCTAATCACTTTTATATCACATTTTCTATATCACAATGCATATTGTAACAAACAAAGATTTTGGTTCAGAAATTTGCTTCCAAAGGTTACTTGCAGAATACAAATAGAAAAGGCAACAATTGCATATTGTTTACTTATATGCCCATGTAAATATTTTTCCTACCATAAATTTAACAATGCTGTCATGTTTACACTAAGAGTACAAACGAAGGATAATCAAGAGTAAAACCAACATCTTAAATTTTGACTAAAGTGTTATGAACTCTCTGAACTACATTAGCAAAATTAGCCATAGGCTGCTTCAGCTACAAATGGTTAGTTTCTTCCTAACAGTAGCAAGACATTTTAATCTATTTTTCAATTAATTCTCAAATTTATCAATGCCTATTTTGTATTAATTTCATCTTAATACCTGATGCCTTTGTGGCGGTCAATACCACCCAATCTCCTTCTACAGGTGTTATCAATTCGGAAACTGTTCTTTCATTCATTCTTTCAAGAATCTGTCCTTCACTGAAGTGGCTTATTTGTTCCAAGAGAGGAAAGAGTACATTTAATCCACCTATGCAGTTTATGATGTCCTGAAAAAGAAAATTACAATTTTTTCATCTTATAAAACATGGGCAATTTTTTCATTTAATATCTACACAGCACATAAGAGGTTATAATTTACTAAATCTTTAGGCAATGTATAGGACAGTCTAAGCTAAAGGAACCCTCATATGGCCATATGCTATTAAGAGCAGCCATATCTCAGTGGTTGCCATAATCAATACTCAAGAGAGACTAGGCCAGAACATTTTTACTGCACCTTTGTTTTCTAAAGTTTTAGAATTTCAAACATAGGCAGTACAAACATGACCCTATAACTTGACTTTAAAATACGAATAACGTAAGAGCAAAGTGTCACAAGGTAATTAGGCATAATGAACAGGAGAATAAATCATGGGGAAAAAGAATGTATTCAACAGTATAAATATGGCTGACTTCTCTGCTTTTAGTTAACAGCAGAGTGGCTTTAGGTGGCTTTGACCAAAATTAACAGCAGAGTGGCATGGGTGGCTTTGACCAAAATTCAAAGTTACTATTTTGGATAGCGTAACAAAATATATTCAATATCCTTTGACATGTTATTAATTTCTCTGCCTCGGTTTTTTTATCTGTAAAATGAGGATAATACTTATTCCCAATTTGTAAAGTTGTTATAAAGATTAAGTAAGCAAATACATGAAAAGTGCTTACACAAAGTTAGCTATTATTAACAGCTAAAATATTCTGAACTGCCATGTAGACCCAGCTTAAGTTTGTAAACAACCTCTTCACATTCTCTGCCTGTTTTTCATATTGATTTTTAAGAGTTTTATGTAGTAAGTAAACTAGCTTTTGGGTGGCAAGTATTTTTTTCCAGTTGTCATTTCATATAAGTTTGTCTTTGAGTTTGCTGCAATATAAAAATGCAATAGTCTTCTTCCTCATAATTCTGTTCCTTTTTGATTTCCACATAGCTATAACTCAACTAAGACTGCTTTGATTTTCAAATATAATGTATGGCACAAGTAATCAGCTTTCTATACATAAGTAATAGAGCTAGCCTTGTAAAATCACTCTTACAAATGACAACAAAAGTTACCTTATGAATTGGCAAATACGCTATAAATTTTAGTATGCTAACAAGAATAAGTATTCTTCTCTCAAAGTCAAAGAATAAAAGCTTATACTTCACGAATAACATGAGATTAATACTAATTGATGTATTCATCTTTACACAGGCTGAATTATCTTAATGGCTTCTGTTCCACTGAAAGAATGAGCATATTTGATTGGTGTTAAGTGACTATAATATAAAAGGGGTTTTTGCTCATTTACCAACAAGTTCCCTACAACTATCTTTTATACTTCTTTTTACTTAAGCTATAATTTCTATTTAAGATATCTTTTAAGGAAACATTATATTTTAGAAATAGGATAAAATCTCTTTCATATTGACACAAATAACACTAATTTAATCACTCAGTCGACAATGTTATTGCATATCCCTGTGCCAGGCACGGTAAAGAAAGGAGTGGTCCTTCCTTTGAAGTTCTTAAGGATTACTGGAGAATCGAGCAAACACACACTTACTATTCACCATAATAAGTGAAATGATAAAGTGCTACAGGTACCCATGACAAGAGTAGTTGACTCAGTCTTGGAAAATAAGTAGAGGCCTCTAGATAGAAACAAAGACATTATGTCCAGCTGAGACAAAAATATGAGGCACATGAAAAAGGCAGACAAGATATAGTTAGAGCAGGATATGAAGAAGAGGAAAAATTGCTCATCTTTAACCTGAGAGAGGAAAGATCTGAGTTTGTTTAAAGCTGAAAGACAGGAGACTATAGACAGAGAGTATATATTTCAGGAGAAAAAGGATAATCAATGAAGTCTATAAGGGGTTGAAATTTGCCACATAGTTTTAGAGATTAAATACCTTAAGTGGAGCAGTAAAGTAAGGCAGTATCTTTTTCTCATGAAAAGTGTTAAGCTCATGGCAGTTTAAAACTAAGTTTCAAGCAAATCAAACAGTCATTGAACTACTTATTTGCTCATCCTTCAAACTGTGTGTCTTGCCTGAAAACATTTTAACTGAGCCTTATTATTCAGATGAATCTGGTGGTGCTTAAAAGATAAACTCTTCTAAACCAACTTCTGGGCCATGAACCAGTACGGGCCACAGAGCAGGAGGTGTGCAGCAGGCGGGTGAACGAGCAAAGCTTCATCTGTATTTGAAGCTGCTCCCCAGCGCTACCATCACCACTTCAGCTCCACTTCAGATCATCAGGCATTAAATTCTCATAGGAACACCGTCCCTGGTGCCAAAAAGGTTGGTGACCACTGTTCTAAAGGATCTGTAAACATATATAATACATTGCTTGTCATTTATCATTAACTTACCTTAATGTCCCAGTTTACTACTTTGTTTCCTGTTAACCTTCCATGCAAACAATTAGTAGATAAATCAAGACAGATTGAATTTTTGCAGGCCTAAGAATAAAAAAATATATATATGGCAAACAGCTAAGCACAATGAAAACAAAATACAACTTTTACTATTCTGACTGTCTCTTAAAAAAATCAGGATCTAGATTCGAAAGTACTCATTCATCAAATGCAGATCATTGCTGCTTGTTACGTTATTCATCAGTCATATAGTTTATCATTTTTTCTCTTTTAATATGCAAACAGATTTTTCACTTTTAAAAAAATTCAATGTTTTATTCTCATTTAGTACTTCCCTAAGCGTAATTTCATGATATATATAAAACATGTGACTAAAGTATGAGATAGTAGGAACTACAGAACAGAAAAATATATTACAATATAAAAAACCAACCACAGGCATAAGACATAATATTTTCCCTCATATTACTGACATTCTGTTATAGTCAGATGAAGAGCTTAGTCTGCAACTCAGAAATTCTTAAAGTTATTTGTTACCTTCCATAAAGGCTTATAAAGCAGGTAACTTCACATTCAATCTGTGAATTTGCAGACTAAAGTATCCTTGAATGTAATCCCCATTGCAAAAGGAAATAAAGAAACCTGTAAATGTTAACACAGATGATGTGGCTGTTTTTTTCCTCTTAAGGCAACTGAGAAAAATTGCTTTAATAAAACAAATGTAAATTGAGTTTACCTTTAACTCAATGTGAACTGCGTTAGTCTCAGAGACAGAAATGTCTTTCTCCTGTTACTATCTTAGTGTAGGTACCTGTGTATCTATGACCTAATTTCCTAATGGCATGGGTGCCTCCAGTCTCCTAACCCTCTAATCCAACGTGCACATTGCAGCTTGAGACCGTTTCTAAAATACAAACCTGATCACATTACTCTAGTGCTTAAAATCCTATCCAAAGCCTGCAAAGGATTTTTGCTATAATCTGGCCTCCTCTTGTCCTCTAATCTCATTTCCTGCCATCCTCTCTTCCTGCTTAGTCACCTACACCCAAATACATGTAGAATCCAGTTTTATAGCCTCTGCCTTTGTAGGTGCTGCTTGCTACACCTTGCACATCTTTCTCTTCACCTTTGCCTTTTAAGTCACAAATCAAATCATCTTTTCTATGATATTCTAACCTCCTATGATATTCTAATCTTTTCTATGATATTCTAACCTCCTGGAAGAACAAACCACCCTTCCTTTGTATCTGCATTGTATTTTGTACATAATTTCAACACAGAAATATTGTATTCTGGTTAAGTATATGCATTAAACAGGCCGGCCAATCACTAGAATTATGAAGCTAGACAGGTTACTTATCTTTAGTCAGTTTCAGGAAACTAGAGCTTAGAAATGATAGAGGTAACACCACTTAACCCTTAGAGCTTTAGTGAATATTACGTGAAATAATACACATGAAGCATTTAACATAGAGCTTAAGATAAACACCCAATAAATAGTAGCTAAAAAGAAAAATGCTCATGAAATTATATTGCACTTATTTTTTACATATTTATTTCACTGTAGATTTTAAGCTTCTTAAGCCAGAGGCTTTAATTTTTTCATCTTTCTATTCTAAAAGTTCAGAAAATTCTTGGCACAGAGAAGACACTCAAAACATTTAAACAAATGAGTAGTTAAACACCTCCCAAAAATAAGTGCAAAAATCGGAAACTGCTGTCAAAAAATCCTCTACAGTAGCCTTTTCCAAACTTGCATTTGTTACTAAGTGAGGTAAAAAAACAAAATATGTTCTATGTTCAAATAACTAGTAAAAAAGTAGGATAAAACAAAAATAAACTAGTTTCTTTATACCATGATTTTTCAAGTGTATCATCAATCTCTAAGAGAGATATACTAAATGCAACATCCCCCAAACTTAACATAACCACAGAACCCTTGTATCACGATATATCACCATTTTCGAGAAGTATTCCTCCAATAAATTGTCTTATTATATATATTTATCATGTTGGGTTTCTTGAGGAAAAGTACTAATGGCTTTTTATAATGTTACATAAATTTTACTTTCAATCTTTATTTTTCAAAATTACTTTGAAAAGAATACGGCAACCATAATGCCAAAACGACACATCTAGACATATACCAAATATATTAGTGAAATTAAATCTAATTATTTCTTATCTATTTATACTAGATAGTTGTAATGAAAATAAGTATAAGATATAGTCCCTTTAAGTTATTAAGAAATAATTTAAAATCTAGTTTGGCAAACAAAAAAAATCTTTGAGAAAAAGTTAGTGGTACAAACAGGAAACAAAAAATAAGAGACACAAGAGACATAAACAATGTATGAACCTCGAATGGATCCAGGATTAAATTTTTTAATTTAATTTTTTAAATTTGTTTAAATAAGTATTTTTGGGAAAACTGGGAAATTTTGAATATGGGTTATGTAGTACATGAATTATTGATAATTTTCTTAGGTTAATGATCATGTAGAAAAGTTAGGAGGAAAGTGTCTTGACAGCTATGTCAATCTGCTTTCACAAATAACTTCAGATAGATAAACACAAGTGTGGCAAAATGTTAATCATTGGGGAATTCAGGTGAAGAGTACACAGGATTTCACTTTACCATTCTTTCAACTTCTCTCTAGGTTTGAAATTAATCAAAATAAAAAGTTAGGGGGAAATACTAACTGATAAGTAAATTGTATTAGCTTAGATATAACAAGTATTCGAAGTAATACATTATAGCCATGTATTAGCAGGCTAAACTAGAAAAAAAGATTCTACAATGTATAATGTCACACAGCAAAAGCATTTTCTGGGTCAAGGTAACATTGACTATAATTAAGGCAACTGATATTGTTTATGCCACTTCTCCCTTTTCTTCCTCCCAATTCTATTTTTTGATCTTCTTTCCCTCAGCTCTTGCTAACCTTTCCTCCAAGAAAAAAGGACTCAGCATGGCATACAGATAGGTGGTTTCTTTTTTCTCCTTAAGTAAACATTTTGTTGTTGTTGTTTTCTAACATCATATTTTAAAAATTAACAAAGAAAATGTTGAACAAATTCTGTTTCATCTACCCTTCCAAAAAAGTAGGGGAAAAAAGTTTAAACAATTTTATTTACTGCAGTCAATTCATTAGTACAAAGTCCCACTACAGCTATTCCAAATCATACAATTGCGATGACATAATGATCACATTTGAACCTTAGTTGAGAGGTACACCTTTATTTTTAATGCTTCTCATCTTGCTTTGAAAATTAGTAATTTTTTAATGGCAATTCAAGCCTCTTTTTCTCAATTACCCACTGAAATGAGAGAAATTAAAAACAAATTCTAGTTCGTAGCATTTGACAACCAGATGGACAGTCCATGCTTTTATTCTGACCTTTGCAGTGTAGTGAAGAAGGACATTACCAGGCAGGTCGGTCATGTCAGACTCTTGATATTTCCAAGGGCTTAAACAGTTTGGACCTGAAAATTATTTATACATATACACATATCATTGAATAGATATGGCCTCTTCGGTTCTGTGTAATCAGAACAAAATTTAAAATTAAGCTGTTTTAAGCTACTTACATAACACAGTTAAAACACACTAAACAAAATATACTTTATGTTTATGTCACTTCTAATTCAATATAAACCTAAAAAAGTTGGGGGTGGGGGTGGAAATGGATCAATCTCATCTATAGAAAGGAAATTTATACAACTAATATCAAATATAACAAAATTTTATCTATTTATTCGGCTAATGTACACAAACTCAAAATTTTAAGACAAAATAGCAAAACAATAATGTGAATAGATATCAAAGAAATGGAATACCAAATGAGTAGGAAAAATTCTTGACTTTACTAAAAAAAAAAAAAAGAAAAAAAAAGAAAAAAGAAAGAAAAAATACAAATTAAAATAAGGTTCTACATTACATCAACAAAGGAAGGAAACGGTAGTGAGTGTTCCATCTTAATGAGGCTGTGATGAATCTGGTACACTTATATATTACTGTTAGGGACTGTCAACTGGTATATATACCTTATGGAGACTATGTACCATGTATTAAAAGCCATAAAAATATTTACACACTTTGAATATTTATCCTGAGAATTTATCATAAGTAAATCCAACAAAATAAGGAAAAAAACAATCAGTACAACAGTTCTTCATATTTAATATTTGAAGTCTCCGTCAATATTAAAAATTATAAACAGCCTAAGTAAATCATGCATTATGAATCCAATATAATATTGGGCAGCCATTAAAAATCATTATGAACACTATATAATAATTGTTATTTATATGAGAATTATAAGTAGAAAAAAACTAGAAGAACAAAATCCAAACTACAGAGTTGAGATGATTACACTAAATGACTTATTATTAACCTGGAATTTATTTAGACTATAAACTTCAAACACTGTGGTGAGTTTTAAACTAATGAGAAGTTTCTAAACTTTGAAAATCTAAACATTCTCATTCCTCTCAAAACTCCTATGTAATATAAAAAAGAAATGTTGACAAATAAACTATTCTGCAGAGTTAATATATATTACTATCTAGAGGCTTAACTCCTGAGCAATCTACTAAAATACAGATATAATTTTAAAAATAGTTATGATCCAATAACAATCTGTGTATATTTAAAATCATAGCCAAAAGATAAAAAGCCAAAATAAAAACAGCTCATAATTTTATCTAACTCCTAATTCTACTGCCTTCATGAATTCTTCAGGCATATTCATATGCAAGTTATAAAAATTCATTTTTATATGACGAGTTTTGAATTGACTCATATGATTTTAGAATCAGTCATGTAATTTCTTATGAAAACAGGCTTATATTTTGTTTCATCAATTTACTAAAATCTGTCAAAAGTATTATAGAATAAATTGTATTTCCCCGAAATTCATATGTTGAAGATATAATCCCCAATGTGACTGTATGTGGCAATAAGGCCTTTAAGGAGGTAATTAAGGTTAAATGATGTCATAAGGGTCAGGACCTAATCTAAAAAGGGTACCTTATAAAAAGAGGAAAAGACACCAGAGATATCTCTTGGCACATATACAAAAAACAGATTCCATGTGAGGACACAGCCAAGAAGGCAGCAATCTACCGGCCAGGAATAAAGGCCTCACCTGAAACCACACCTGAGGAAAACTTGATCTTGGAATTCTAGCTTCCAGATTTGTAATAAAATAGTGTTTAAGCCATCCAGTATGTAATGCGTTGTTATGGCAGCCATAAGAAGCCAATACTAGGTAGATTTATGGATATTTGAAATACTTACCAAAGGCCTGCTTTGTCTACCAAAAAGAGTATGGTGTACTATAATTAATACTGAATAATAGACTTGAAAATGTTAAGCAAGTAGATCTCAAATATAATCAATACACACATAAAAATGGTAATTATGTGAGGGGACAGAGGTGTTAACTATTACAGCAATCATTTTGCACTATATACATTTACCAATCATCATATTGTACACCATAAATGTACATACATTATATGTCAGTAACATTTCAATAAAGCCAAGGGGGAAGAGTATGGTATATAGTGGGCTTCCTCTTCCTTTTTATCTTCAATTAAATACATTCTTCATATTTAGACAGAAAAAACTAAGTTTTATTAAATAGTATGACTGTAAATACTCACCTGCCAAATATAATGCCTTCACCTGAGGAGGCTGTAGTGCTTCATAGAAGATGATGACAGACCCTAGCTGACCCTCCAGAGATGTAGGACATCCCCATTCACTGTCCTGGGTCCCAGCTGATATCAATTTGGTAACCAATTTTGATTTTTCAGTTGTTCCTCCCCAGGAGGCTGATGACAGAATTCCACCAAATGATGTCCGATGAGGGGTAATGGGAGAAGAAAAAGGTGGATCTGGGATTTGGGATGGTGGAGGAGTGGTGGTTCTTTGTCCAGCTGAACCAATGCAGCAGGAAATAAAAGGCTAAAAATTAAGAAAGAAACAAACAAAACAAATTACACAGTTTCGATTATATCTCTATCCTCATTTAAAATGAAACAGTACATAAAATCAAGCAAATAAATACAGAAGAAATCACTACAGAAGTTACTTTTGGCCTACATGATTTGGATGCATTTATAACTCACTTTATATCCTTTTGTAAATTTGGAATTTTTAATGAATGTATATTAACAAAAATTTTTTAACAACTTTACTATATTCTAAAATAGAGAAAACTACTTTTTTCCTTTCAAATTTATGAACAGAGAATGACACATCAGTATAATGACACTAATTATAGGTTATGGTGAAATGGTCATTGAAATGAACAGCAACAAGAAGTTCCTAGAATACTAAGACTGGGAAGTAATCTAATCCATTCTATTACCTACAGAAAAGGCCATTTCAAAATTATTCTCAAAGAACTTTTACACTAATGTTCTTTAAGAGTCGCCCTAGTAAATAAATTCTATCCTATACCTAATGACAATGTAAAGGTTTAAAGTGTCTAATTTATTAAAGTCCATCATAACAATCCCTAAGTATTTTGTATACCTGGAGAACTTTATTAAAAGATCCTTTGTTCTGCTCTATTCAATTTTTTGGCTTTCCGATGGCTGTTACATGTCTTTTTTTCTAAGTGTTTAATTACATTGTTTCTTCCTTGAATTGTTTTTTCTTTCTTACATGTTGTCTGACTTCATCTAAATGACAATAGGCTAACAGAATTAAATATTAACTTACTATATATCTTCGTATGTAGAAAAGACAAAAATTTATGGGCACACATTAGAATAAAGAGAACCTTCTATATTAGATTGAAATTTTTCAAGAGGTTTCCAGTCATTTGGTCCCATAAAGAGTACATTAGATGTGCTTACTTCATTCATGGCAGGAAATCTGAGAGGGGCGGAGACCTTCTGTTGTCCATTATCGTAGATATAGACAAGGCTCTGACCAAAAGGCCTTTTTCCAGGCATGTGAACAATAGTTATGTTGTGCTGGTAAAGTAAAATACACATTCAAAAGGTGAAGAGCACATTAAGTTTTTGGAATGACAAATGTTTTCAGAGTATTACTCTAACTAGTTTGTGTAAATAGCAGAACATTAAGATTAAGCATAACTAAATACTGATTAAAACCATGATTTTAAAGTGAATAATACTTTTTTCTGTAGTACTATAAAAGCACTATGTCTATTCTAGAAAATCTACACACAACTGTAATACAGTATCTTTTCTGTACTTTCCAAGTCTATGAGTATTCTTTAGAATCAATTTTTCTAATAAGAATAATCTTTTAAAAAGCAACAGAAATACATTTTAACAATTTATATCCTCACTTTAATTGAACTTCAAAATCAAATTTGATTCTAAAAAAGTTAAGAAATCATAACATTTCATTTTAAATTTTTAGCAGAAAAACGATTACTGACATTTACAATGATGATGTAAATGGTATTAACCTCCTCATAGATGAACTTCAACATGAACAGAAAGTGAAAATTAATCAAGTCTCAAAACGCAGCTGATAGCACTTTATGTACATGCACCAAATGTGTTTTTTAAAGGAAAAAAATCAAGAAGTTAAACGTGATGCCCTAAAGCCTTACCCAGAGGGAATCACAGAAACTGTGGTCAGGAAGCATAACTGTTGCATATTCTCTTTTTGTGCATACTGCCACAACCAACATACCTGAATGGGTAATAAAAGCTTCAAAACCCATGCCACTTCCTGTAAAAAAGCTAACAAAAATACATATTATCAGAACTTTTGAAGTCATTTGTTTAGTTTTATCATCACTGAAGCACACAAAACTATAATGTCATCATGAATATCTTTATCAAACACACTGTGGCTTACATTTTGTTGCCACATATCAGTCCAACCTTGTTTCAAAAATGAATTTTAAATCTTTTTTTTTTTTTGGCATAAGAGTTTTAGTAAATTATAAAAGGTAGCCAACCTTATAAATGGAATTCTATTAGCAAACTATAGTAAAGCTATAAACTTTCAAATCTTCAAAATTCTTCCATATTAAGATTCAAAAAGCATGAGTAAAGGTCTTAAAATCATAAGGCATATTAAAAATTGCTACTGAAGTAAGCAATTTTTACTAAGTTTGGATTTATATACACATGGTTTTCTGGTCTTTCATATAACTATATAGCGCTCTCAATGGAACAGATGGATTACCATTCATTTTCAAGATTATTATTCCTTTTTTCTTCATTTTTACAGTACTTTAGGAAGGAACTTGTTTCTAAACTAACCTCAGAACTTAACTAGCAAAATATTTGAGATGTACAATTACTACTATGAAAGCAAGAAAGCACTTAAACTGAGTACACTCTAAGGATGAAGAAGCTTCAAATAAATTGTTGTACATTTATTTAAAATCCAGATGCTTGGAAAAGCTTTTTCCTATTTAAGAAACACAACATATATTGTATGACAGAATTCATTTATATTCCATAACTTGTATCAGTACCTGTATAATTGTTTTCTCTTTCCTCCTTTGTTAGCATTGCCAAGAGTCGACTGGTCCTGATCTAAGCAAAACCAAGCACTGAAGGAAAAGGCAGACCCTGGCCATTTCTGTATAGAAGGCACAGAAATTCCTGCCATACTATGTGACAAATTGAAATATTGCAGTGCACTCTCTAGACTTTGTTTTCGAGCCATTGTCAGGATTGCTCGAGTCACGGGAGTAGTATATGGGTGAATATACTCAGATTCATCCACCCTCAGCAATCTTAGTAGTTGACGGATTTCTTCTGCACTCACTGACTGACTCCCCAAGGAACCATGAAGTGCAATCAGGTTCTCAGCACAAGTTCGATGAAGGGAAGAATGGGAATGAAGGGCTTCAATGATTCTAATTCCCATGTTTGCATTGACACAAACAGTTCGGCTCTGTCTATTAATACAACAAATTCTTTTCAGCCAATCAGAGATGAAGATCTGCAGGTCATGGGATTCTAGCTCTGGAAGCCACTGAATAAGAAGCAAGAGAGGATGGACATTACTAATGCCCAAAATCCCAACTGAAGTGTGATCACCCTCTACAGCCTGTAAGGCAACGGAAGAGACAAAGGTTAGTTACCATCCTTGATATGGAGATAATGGAACTTCTTTTAATAAAGCTAAAAAACTCACCATATTCATAAGTTCTTTCAGTAGTTCCAGTGGTGGCTGACCTAGGGATTTTAATACTTCAAACATATGTGTATAACCAATTCTTTCTTTAAATACTTCCTAGGAGAGGGAAAATAAACACATCAATCCAGATTTTCGAAGACTAGATTTGTTGAAATATTTTCAAAAGTGTTGAATACTACCCATTTAAGGTTATTAATATTAAAAAGATTATGAGTTCAACATTTTGTTTTCTCAAATCGTGCTGCACCTTAAAATAAACTTCATTTACCTTTTGGAATACAATGTTACAATAACCTATCAACATGTAAAATAAATGAAATTAGCAATAGTTGTACATTATAAATTATATTACTGATTAGATCGCAGGACACTTCTTTTACCTTCTTCACTTGATTTGTACTAAGTACAGTGTTATGTGATGTCAAAATAAAAATGGAAAAAAAAAATGAGGAGAATCTGGGGTAAGAGGAGTCAGACAGCAGCCTCAAAGGTATAAAGAGTCTTGGCAATTTTGAGTACTGACCAGAAAAAAACTGGGTAGTTTTCTCTCTACTCTTAGTATCTAAATGGTCTGAATTATCTGGAACATTGAGTTCATTTTAGTAAAGTCTAAGCCATAAAGGAAAATATAAAGACAACCAAAAAATCTTCATAACACTAAATTGGTCCAGTAAAGGAGGCAGAAATATATACACTCATTATCAAATCAAAAGATTTAAACAAAATGAGATTGGCTCTTTCTGGGGAAGGGAACTAGTTAACTGTGGGCCAAGGGTAGGAAGAAAATCTTTTTTTCGAAAGGTATGTTTTAAGTCATCTTTTTAATTTTAAATCATGCAAGGCATAACAGTATAAAAAAGTTGATATTATAAAGACTTGAACATCATTTTAGGTTTGAATTTCATAATATAGTACACGCAATCCATTATACTTATAAACCAATTAGAATTTAAAATGATTTTCCTTACAGAAATTGTTATCAATGGAGATTAGATTCCCTAGCCAGCCTGTAACAG